CTGATCATTGTAAACCCAAAATGCGGGCCCCCTTTGAAAAGTCTTTCATCCCTTACAAAAAAACTCTTCTCTTGTTTCCCTTTTTTGGTCTTTTCATCGTAAAGGAACCTCACTGTTTTTACCCCTTCTTTACCCGATTTTTGTATTAATTTTTTGGGGGATGAAAAATCCATCATAAAAACCACCCCTTAAAACAAAGATTTTTCCTAGTCGTCAATTTCTTCTGTCCCCTTTTCCCCTTCAAAGCCAAGTTTCCTTCTCTTTTCAATCCCCTTTTTCCTTTTGATATTGATTTACTCCGGGTTTTTCCCATTTTTAAAACGGGAATTTTTAATGCAAAAAAAAACCCCCAATTTTTCTACAAAAATAATGTTGGGATCGTCATCATACGTACATTTCTGAAGTCCGGTCGAAGTGTAAAACCACTTGGATAAGATGTATCATGTACCATCATTAATATTTCAAGATCACCAACTGAAACAAACCCATCCAGAATAAGACTTGACATTTTCTCTAAAATATCAACTACTATACGCTTATCTCGATTCATAATTACTTTGCTTTGTACTTTTTCATTACATGAATTGATACATTTAAGGGTATTTTGCAATGTACATATGTTTTGCTTCGGTAGACAACCAAGGCGAGATGAATAAATGTTGAATGCACATGTATTCTTCTGGAAGATAGTAAAAATAAGGTTGCAAATCAATGTCTGCTTGCTGTTTTTCAACTATCACTCTTTCAGGGGTAACAAAGTCTTCTCCTGTCCAAACAATGTTTTCGACAGCAAAATCATCTTTCACTTTTCGTACTTTTTCTTGACGTTTACTAAGATGGTCATAAATACTTTTGATTACAGGCATTACATCGGATCTGTGGCGCACTGAATAGCAATTTCTAACTATTTTAAGCTGTTCAAATATTTTTGAAATAGCTGGCGGATCTTTCCACCTGAATACCCCAGCAAGTGTCTCTGACATGCATTCAATAATTGGCATTATTCCTCCTACTAGAAGGCTCAAACTAATATCTTTTGCATCGCAGGGTTTACAAAGCGTGCCATTACTCTTAAACCATGTAATACAAGAAGGATATGATGACACTCTCTGTTCAACTGGAATACACGCGAGCGAATAGATAGATTCCCCTAAACTAAACCCGTTTCGACAAGCATCTTCTAGCAAAGAGGGTTTCCTAGAGATGATATGCATAAACGCTTTTGCTTTACGAAGAAGATCTTTGTTGTTTTTTTCCTTGACACTTTCTATTCAAATTGTTCAAAGTGGTAGCCACGCTGTTTAAAGAAGCAGCAATCTATTATTTTGTTACCTTTCAGCCCAAGCTTTCTAAGAAATGAACTGCCTCTTTCCCATCTTTTGCTATAAGTTAGAATCTTGGTAATAAGGACTCTCCGTACAGTAAATCAATCGATAAACTTTTTCAGAAGCGGGTCAAAAAAGCTTCCGAGGCAAATATATGAAAAGGTGTGAGTTAGGTCTTGTTTTGAGTAAACGCAGGGTTTTTTGCCAAAATCTCACAATTTTTGAACTGTTCTTGAAATAATGGGAATTAGTAATATAAATACTTGATAAACAAATTGAATTTCTTTTAAAATTGCTTCTCTACCAATCTTTGGTTAGCAATTTTGAGGTACTCTTTAACAATAACTTCAACAGAAATTTTTGTTCCGCCTAAATTTGCAACGAATGATTCCAATGATACGTTCACTTGTAGGCATGTAAATGGTAACATAACGGACTTTGGAAATGTTTCCATTCCGTTTATAAATGAAGATGTTTCCGTTAAGGATGCTGCTTTCGTTTTCCCATCAATATAATTAACAGCTTCAAATATCTTCAATTCCCTTGTGAAGAGTTTAACATTTTCTGACATTTCAAACTGACATTTTACCAGCATTTTCATAAATGCCCTTTTCTCAATCATTGAACAAGAATTGTTGAAAGTAGTCACACTCTGATAAACAGTTTGCCCTTTACTTATCCGAGACAAAAGGGGAAATCCCCATTTTATGACTAGGGGAAAAGGCCCAATACTGGTTATGCTTCTTGGGGAACCCAAAGGGGCGGTAAATTTTCAAAATATTTTAACTCCAATTTAACTGTGGGTTCTGTATACTTCCTCGGGAAAACTTTGTCCCTCTTTTGTTTTAAAGGAAGGAGGAGATCATTTAAATTTTTGGGAAAAAATTTGGATGACTTTGGGGTTTTTCCCAGGCCCTTTTTCAGTACGGGTAAAATTGGAAGATCTTTGAGATTAAAGCTTTTCCCCTATTGATAAAGATACTCCCCAATATGCAAACCATTGTTGTTTAATTTTTTTGATCCTTGGGTTAAGGGGTGTAAACTTTCCTAATTGGACCCCAAAATTTTTTAAAAAAAAGGGTCATGTAATGTTTATTTTTTAATTTGCAAAACACCTTAAATGTAAAAAAATATATTTTTACTCAGTTCAGTGACAGTGATATATTACTCTCTCTCTCTCTCTCTTTTTAAAATCATTTTAACCGTTTAATGACAGATATAAATATATTGATATCGAAACAACAGACAAAGGGTGTAGTATATATTTTCAAGTTTTCGATGGAACTGCTTTATTTATCGTATTGTTTTGGTTCATGGGCTTATCTCCAGATTTTTTAAACACAATCACGTTAAGATAGATTCATTGTATGTATTTTGAAATTTAATTTAAAATTGATTAGTTAAAATATAGATTGCAATAATGATCAATATGGACCAAATAAAAAAATGCTATTTTAATCATAAATAATCTGGGGAAAGGTAATCCTTGGAGCGCAGCGAACAAAAACAAAAAGATAAGAGTTACAAGAAATAATTAACGCAATGCATACGTATGTTTGGTAAATTAATTATATCAAGTGTATTTATATTTATGAAGTGTAAATAAATAAAACTTACCTGAACAACACAAGCTTTCTATCTGACGTGCTAATGTGCTTCTAAGAGATGACTTGTTCTTCAAAAGAATGTGCTGAAGGCCAGGCAGTATTCTTAAAATATCTTCGGGGCAGATGTATACTGTCGCTTCGCGCTTGTTGAAATTTGTCCATTCTCCAGAAGACAGTGGAAGAAGCTCCAGTCCATGTACCAACCCATATTCGCTCTCCGATAGAATATATTCTAAAATATCCAGTTTGTCCTGGCATGCTTTATTTCTGTAACTTTTGTTCTTTTGAATGTATGTTGTGAAGACTTTTGGAGTAAGATCCTGAAGTTGAGGAAAATACCTTCGTATAGTTTCAAAAAGCCCCTTTGGAATGTCTACGTATTTCTTTCCTACAGAAGTAAGACAGTGTTTTATGGCATCTTTGACGTGTTTGTGTTCAATTGGTAGGTTGCTTAAAGTTGCAAAGCACGCATCATTTTGCCGTATCCAACTGTTAACATTGGTACTGTATAAAAAGGGTTGTGTTGCCAGCTTAATAAACAATGTATGTTCAAGTGTAGCCCATGTTTGATGTGTTTTTGATGAATCAGGCAGACATGCATACACATGGTCAATTGAATCAGATACATTTCCACAATCAATCGACCTTTGTATCAATGAATTTACAAGGATCTGATATGCAAGAGGAATGGCTTCACAAATAAGATATTTGTTCCATAAAATTGACTTGTCATCGATTCTTTTATCTCTTTGTTCCTCCGTTTCTAGCTTTAAGTGGTGTCGATTCTGACTCAGGGCAAAGAATCCATTTACATGCACTGGTAGTCCGGTAAGACGTGATCCCTCTCTCGGCAAAGGTAGAAAGGCAAACACATGCCCCTCAAAAGTACGCTTCTTAGATTCAAGTGGAGCCGCAACTCCTACATATGGACTGTAACAGAAATTCTCATCGTGTATTAGTTTTTGAAAATTCAAGTTGGAACTGCTACCAACATAATAGTTCACAACCATCCATTTAGATATGTTAGACTTTCCTTTTTTTAATATGTTTATTGATATCTGTACATCGTTCCATATATCTTTCTCCTGATAAGCTGAATTTATTTTTTTTACTTTTTCTGCAAAATCAAATCTGTATTTTCGAACTCTTCCATTTGTATCTTGTAGTTCTATTTTAACAATTTTTGAAATAGGATTTCCGTTTCTACGTGTATAAATATTTATACTTTCTAAATTCCTCAGGAAGAGTAAAATAGAAGAAGCCTCTAGCTGTAATCCTTCGAACAGGTCCATAACTTTTTCTTCATCATATAATGTTTCTGACACCTCTGAACAGTGCTGGCGTAGTGGAAACCAAAACAATGTACCATCATAATAACCATTGGCAACTATTCCTTGTTCGATTCCAAACAACCCGTCAAATGCTTCCCAAAATGCCTCAGCATTCAGTCCATGTTTTTCAAGTTCAAGGTTTCCAATTCGGGATAATTTAACCATTGCATTTACTTGGCCTGACGGTTGCTGTGGATCTATCATTAAAATTCTGTCGCCGCTGATAACACAGGGATAATCTGAAAATTATTCAATCGGAATGCGGTATGTGTTGACGCTATATGTCTTTTCATATTTAGTTTTATCGCTAAATGCATTTATATCCAAATTTTCTTGATATAATCTGACTTTTATTAGTAGAAAGTGGAGTCTTTAAACGGCAATAACACACGTAAAATGTCTTTAAACAGAAACTACAACCCCGCGAGTCGAATGTGTCGCCTTTTCAACAGTACAGCTGTCAGGTAAGCATTTAGCTTTTTGTTATAAACACTGCCATTGCAATGTATAAGTACCTTTAACTTTAGTAGCATTTAAATCGATTGTAATAATATTACGTCAGGATAAATAAACCTGTTATATAATCAAAACTAAAAAACATGGAAAAGTTTTACACTGACAGATTAATTGAAGGACTCTGTAATTGATTCTTGTGCACTGCACTTCAGGTCAATGAAAAAAGGTTTGGAGCCATTCAGACTGATAGTGATCAAGATATGTTCTGGACAAGCCAAATATGTATAAAAATAAAAATAGGGCAATAACTCAGAAATCATGAAGTGCATACTACATGTTCTTGTACTGCACTTCTCAATGACACCCATCATCTTATGAAGTTTCAAGTCAGTTGTTTAAAGTGTAGGCGAACTAGCCCGGACAAAAATAAAGTATGCAAATTAACGTAGGGCAATAAATAAAAAAGCATGAAGTACAGAGTACCGGTTCTTATGCCTTACACTTCTTCTTGATAAGATATATCATTCTATAAAGTTTCAAGTCCACAGCTTTTATAGTTTAGGAGAAATGGTAGTTTGAAAATCAATAAAGTGCAATAAGTCATAAATCATGAAGTGCAGAGTAAAAGTTCTTGTGACTGCACGTCTTCTCAATGAGATACATCATCATATGAAGTCTCGAGTCAAAAGCTTTTAAAGTGTAGGAGAACTGGTCCGGACAAAAACAAAGTATGAAAATTAACAAAGGGCAATAACTCAATAATCAAAATATACTGAGTACCGGCTTTTATGCACTGCACTTCTTCTCAACGAGATCTATCATCCTATGTAGTTTCAAGTCCATAGCTTTATAGCTCAGGAGAAATGGCCCGCACAAAAATAAAGTATGAAAATGAACAAAGGGCAATAAGACATTGGGCAAACCTTATTAGTATGAAAATCAATAAAGGGCAATAAGTCATAAATCATGAAGTGCAGAGTAGAAGTTCTTGTGACTGCACGCCTTCTCAATGAGATAAATAATCATATTAAGTCTCAAGTCAAAAGCTTTTAAAGTGTAGGAGAACTGGTCCGGACAAAAACAAAGTATGAAAATTAACAAAGGGCAATAACTCAAAAATAAAAATATCCTGAGTACCGGCTTTTATTAACTGCACTTCTTCTCAACGAGATCTATCATCCTATGTAGTTTCAAGTCCATAGCTTTATAGTTCAGGAGAAATGGCTCGCACAAAAATAAAGTATGAAAATTAACAAAGGGCAGTAACTCAAAAAGTGCAGAGTAACGATTGCTGAGTTATGCTCCGGACAAACCTAAGGGGACATCGACAATGACGCCGCCGACAAAAGTTACCCCTATATGTCGCCTATTTTAAGGCGACACAAAAACAGCCGTGAACAGAATGGCATGGAGGCATATTTCTGTCGTCAGTTAAACATCTTCCGATAAACAGTTTAATAGAAATAATTATATATCCCTTAAAAACTCTGGGATACGATAAAAACAACAAACACTTTCTCGATAAATGTATTTCATATTTAGTGGTGATCTATAATAATTTTCAGTTACTAGTTCAATAACCGATAAATATGCCTTTAACTACAAAATATATCTAATTATACATTCAGATTATTTCATCTTCGAACAAAAGAAAACGTGTTTCGCCAATGATGTGTATTGTCTCGGTGTGATAAAACAGACAAAAGTTTCACAAATTCAGAGATAACAATATTATATTTAACTTAAGTATTGCACCTTTTGGCAGGTGTCAAATATACATTATCTTTTTAACCAGATTAAATATCTCTTATCTATATTATTTACACAAAAATTCAGTATTTATATGCCTAAAGTTATATACCAAGTTATATACCACCATAAATAATACTATCAGTAGTGTCTTAAACGTAAAAGCACTGAAATCGTCAAGAACTTTTCCTTATTTTTAATTGATAACTTTAGAGGAAGAAGAAACCATAATTTTCTTGTGCAAAATATATATAAAGGTCACTTACAGATGGTTTAAACATATTTTTATTCAAGGTAATATATACATGTTAATAATTTACAATTTAAGCAGAAAGGAATTGGACCGAGAGCTACAATAGCTCATGGTAGTCCTCTCCTTTATTAAAAGCAATATGTTCATATAATACATGGCTTATTATAATTTTAATTAAACCCTATAAAGAAGGAAAATGAAGAAAAAATAAAAAAAATACAAATACATGTAAGCAATTGATAGAAAATAATAAAGAGAAAGATGGAGAAAAAAGGAGTTTGCGGATGTTTCTATATCATTTGTCGTTTTGGTACGAACATCATGTATGGAAAAAAACTTATGTGAACATTATGTTGTATGACAACTAGTATATTACATGTTAGAATCTTTAAGTATCTCTTATAAATTTATGAACAGCGGCGAAGATAGCAGTGTTTGAGTCCGCAGGTAAAGCAGTGTCTCCATAAAGAATAACATGCAAAGTTGGAATGCAAAAGTTGGAAAGAGTGTTTAGTAGATTGGGATGTAGATGAACATATTTTGGACAAATAAAGAAGAAATGATAGGAATTTTCAACCACCCAACAATCACACAATGAAGACTCGGCAATATTCTTATCAAATAAATCAGATGCAAGAGAGCTACACATACAGATCAAGGTCATACTTAAAATATTCAACATATTTAAGTTGTCATCAATGTAGTTTTGTCCAAGTTTGACTAAAATATGTCCATTTAAATTAATTATGACGAATATATTATTCAATGATTAAGTTTCAGCAGGACAAAAGCAACAGATTGGCAACGGGAACGACACCATTACCGTTAGCATAGCTTTCTTTAAAACAACTCCAGCAAAAAACTAGTGAGTTTACGAAATGGACGAAACCATGTTACAAGAGGACCCAGATGGCTCCTAAATTCGTTCACCTAAGTAAACGGTACACATAAATAAGATATCATTATTATCGGTTTTGATGGGCAAACAGCCATTTCCAAAAAAGGTGAACATTTGAGATGGTGTTGTGATTTAAATGTTATTATGTTTTAGCATATTTGCAGCACTGTTTTTTATTTCCACTTAAATGACTTTTGCACTGTTTTAATAATTACAACTCTAAATTAATTTCTGTTGACTTTTATTTAAATTTGTTAAGCATATGAGATGTTTGGTTACAGGTTATCTAAAATTTAAGATGTGCAGATATCTTGTTGAACAGATTGTAACAAGTTTAGAATACTAGTTACGAAACACTAGCTATAGAACCTTTATTTCCAGTTTTTACCAAACTAAGGAAAATCTGAGATTTTTACAATTGTTTTCAGTACCGTGCTTCCTCTTTCAAATTGTAAAGTAAAAAGTGCTAAAACCTTCAACTTTTTTCAGATAAAATTATGTTTATCTTTCATAAATCAAAACATTCCAGGTCCCTTAACAATTAAAGGAAAAAATCATCGCCTTCATTTATAGCATTTTTTCAAGCATTTCAACTCATTTTAACTCTAAACATGCCAACAACACAAATGAATTTCCTTTATAGGGTGCTAAAAACATAACATAAACAGCTCTGAGAATCAATAATCTATCTTATATAATATCATGACTTTTACACTTACTGTAAACTATAAAAGGTATGTTTAGAACTTGAAACACATTCCACTGCCTTTTTAGAGTATTGACAGCAAGACAGTATGACAGACGGACAGACATAGAAAATATGCCTCTGTCTACCCCTAAGTGGTTGAGGCGTATAAACGAAATCCAATTCAATGTTGACTCTCGACTTTCACGAATATATTGAGCTGCAAGAAATTCCAATCTCTATTTTATATTCTAAAGTATGATTAAAAGTAAACAAAAACAAGAAAAAACACATTATGCAAAACTACACAACGTAAACATGCCATGCTGGCCAAAACTGTTTGAGTTACGCAAGACACAAGTCAAAAGTTGCATATTCTTTACTAAGTCAACGGCAATGACTCTAACAAAAGTGAAATAATCCACACACAAACCCCAGGTGCCCAACTTTACATGCTGATGGACAATCCTGTAAGGTTTGTTGATTCTAGCGGAAGCAGGTTTAGGGGTACATGTGACAAAAGTTCGAACGGTTTTTACTAAGTCAAGGGCAATTACTCTATAAATTCGTAATGAATATACAAGCAAAACCCCAGGTGCACAACTGCGCATACTGACCATCAATTTCCTTAAGTTGCATGACCCTAGGTAAAAATATTTCGGGCTACGCGCGACACAAGGTAAGAAGTTCAAATATTTACTAAGTCAAGGGCAATTACTCCACAAATACTGCATAAATACACAGGCAAACCCACAGGTGACCAACTACACATGCTGACCAACATTTTTGTGAAGGTTCAGGACTCTAGGTGAAAAGCAATTTAGGCTACGCTTCACAAGTTAAACCAGAAGTATCTGACTCAAGGTCAAATTAATTTTTGGGTATTCGCCAAAAGAAGTTGAAACTTGCAAAACTTTACTAAGCGAAAGGCAATAACTAAAAATACTGAATAAATGCAAAAGCAAACCCCCCAAGTGTACAACTACACATGCTGACCAACATGTCTGTAAAGTTGCAAAACTCAAGCACCTTTAGAACTACATGTAACACAACATAAGAAAGAACGCACGCATGCACGCACGAAAAAGAGCAAATCTAAAGGTTCACCATAGAGAAGGGGACATTTCTACACCGATATGTATAGAATGTTTACTAGGCATCTAATATTATGTTCTTTCCCTATCCTTATTAGCTCATAAGATAAGCAATTTTCATTGTAAGGGGAATATTTTTACATTAGCTATGCAAAACTACATGCCGAATATTTAAGCTACACCAAAATATAATTTCACTTATGATCATTCCTTTTCATCAACATCTTATAAGCAATTTAGATATAATCATTCAAGGCTGCTCTCACAACAATCTTATTTATTACACCAGAACGATTTTTGCAATTTCTGTAAAAGACCACATAATTATCATTCCCGTAATGTTTGATTAGAATTTACCAAGCTGTTAAAAACGTTCTATTCATGTTTAGCGTTGACGGCAATCTTAACCAAGAGACCGAAACGATTAGAGCGACTACCTAAGTATCATTCCTGTGCTTTTTTATCAGAATCCTTTAAGTGGTTTAGATTTTATTTTAGCTGTGGCGGCCATCTTGTTCGACATTCCAGCACCATATTAGCAAAATATATAGAGAACCATCCAAGAATCAGTCCTGTATAGTTTAATCACTACTGGTGTAGGGTTTAATGAGAAAATATTCTTTGACTAAAATGGTACAGACTCCAGACTATGGACACATTGGTATCACAATAGCTGAAGAAAGCTAAACATTTCAAATAAAAGTTGCAAAAACGTGTCTGCTGCGCCTTCATGTTTGTGTATATACATGCATTTAGTTCCAAGTGAATATTTCTATGGCATAGTTTCTAAGATTTTAAAGTAAATGTAAATTTAAGTATACATTTTAGTTAAAAGGGGGCATTACAAACTATGGGCAATAAAGACTTTTGATAACCTTGCGTGTTACCCTTTGAGTATATATAGAAGGCTGAGTGAATGTTGTATAACTCTGTCCCTACAGAGTTTGCTTGTGATCCGTCACTTACCCTTTAAATTTCAAATGATTTTTAGTTCTAATTACATTTGTCTGGTTTTACGGCACACAAGCATAATATAGGTCATCAAAGGAAAAGTTGAGTTTAGCTAACCTCTGGTGATGCAAACGTCAAAGCAACACTAGGGATCAAAACAATCTCACTTGCTGGAGCTAACAGATGGATAGAAGACGGTTATTTGAATCCATTTAGAGGCCACTTATGATCACGCAGACATAAATGAACGGTAGCTACAATTCTTAATCCTCAACCATTTAAGGCACACGCTCAGTCACAAGGGACTCAGATGAATTTAAGTTTCAATAAAATTATTTTCTGCTTCGATAGATATAATAGTGAATGGCAACATAAGTACTTATAAAAGAACAAAACTGTCTATAAAAATGCTAACCATGCCTGCTGATCTTGCTTCTGGCCTGTCACACATTTAAATAGCCGACAAATACCTGATCTGGTGTTAGTACTATTTATAAATATATTTACATATTACAGAACGTATACTTAGTTAACGACTCTGCCACTAACACTACTTTTGCAAACCGTAATGCACAGTTTTGTCATGTGCTGAGAGTAACCTACCTTTCGGAAAAATATGAGAAAATTACGTCGGTACAAGCAAAAACACACACAAACAGACATCATAATTATTATATTTCTTTTAATGCAAAAAAAACGGTAAAAAAATATGTCATTTTTTACCAAAATTGTATATTTCTTAAAAAAATATTTGTACATATTATATATTGCCTGCTCTTTAAATTTGTCTTTTGACAGATTATAAGTCGCTTTTTATGGAATGACACTTTTGAATTATGCTTAATCCCGTGCTAGAGGGGAATGAACGGTAGTTTGCTTTTTCAAAAAAGTCTCAGCTCAGGGTATAATACTTAAACAAAAAAGACTAAAATGTTTTTCTTTGTAAGTCTTTATGAACTAAATGACATATTTATATTAAATATTAGAGGCTCACAAAGTGATGCTACATGCCAAATGTCTAAGATCGGGGTATTTCTAAAACAAATTAAGACAAGTTTAGGCAAACAAAGTGACCACAGGGGGGCCATTTTGACAAATGTGACAGACTGAATTTATAACTTTTGTAGAGGTTCATTGGGCAATGCTTCTTGCGAACACTCTAAGCTCTGGGCGTTTCCAAGAAGAAGGGGTTTAAATATATATTTATACTACAAGTCTATATGTACACAATTACCCCGTAGGCGGGGCCAGTTTTGACCCAAGTTGAATGACTAATACGATTCTGTAAAGGTTTGTGGCATTTGGGCATTTTTGTTCCGGAGGAAATGATTTTCCTATATAAGTCTATATAAATTAAGTAAACCCTGGGGCCGGACGAATTTTGCTCCAAGGTGTATGATTCATAAATCTAATATTTGTAGGTAATACAAAGTGATGCTACATGGAAATATCATAGCTCTGATCATTGCAGTTTCAGTGAAGAAGTTTCTACAGAAACTAATTGACCCCAGGGCAGGACCATTTTGACCAAAGGTGCATGAATTATATAACGTGTCTATTGGTATACTGGCAACATGCAGAATGGACATCGTCCAGACAGACCGTTTCCCTCGAATGAGTACAACAACAGAAATATTGAATATATAATATATAATCATCATATCAGCGAGGATGTTAATTGTAAATGTTTTTGTTGGGCTTTTAATAAATACCTGTGATATGGAACACGGACTTGAAGCCTAGACCAAATCTGCCAACTTTCAGAGGGTCATCTTCCTTCACACTGCTATATATCATACGAATACCATCCCAATCTTTCTCTGTGAATATCGCATTATTTGCGACACAAAGAGCTGGACCCTGTGTTTAAAATGAATCAGCTAGGTAATTATGTTTAAGTAAAATCATATCTAAAAAAACAAACACATAAGCTACTAAATGTAATATATTTAACCGACATAAACAAACCAAGAAAGCATTTAAACGGGTTTTCATGTTTCATACCATCAAACATGAGTGAAAGTTTCGATAAAAACCTAGAACTGGCTCTATAGTAGTATTTGAAATCATTGGCTAGTATGAAAAATCAATAAATGCTGTGAAAGTCATTGGTTTCTATGAAAGACCGAGGAATGATTCACTGGTTGCTATGGAAAATCAAAGACTACTACGGAAATCACTGATTGCTATGGAAAGTCCATGGTTGCTATGCACGTAACTGGTTGCTTTATTTAGTCTATGACTGTTTTGGTAGTCATTGGTAAAGCTAAGTTGCTGAATATTTGATATGGAAGTCATTGGTTGTTGCTGTGAAAGTCACTGGCTGCTAACGCCAAGGAAGTCATTGCTTACTTTGGAAAGTGAAGTGTCGCTTTGGGAAGTCAGTGGTTGCTATGTGACGTCAATGATTCCTATGGACGTCACTTTTGCTAAAGAAAGTCAATGATTGCTATGATAGTCACAAATTGCTTGAGAAAGTTAATTGTTGCTACTTAGTTACACAATCCTATTGACAATCGATGGTTGCTATGGAAGACGCTGCTTGCTATGGAAATTCATTGTTTGTAATAGAGTATCTTAATGCATTGGAAAATGAATAGTTGCTTTCCATTGCTGGTAAGAAAGTATATGGTTGATACTGAAGTAATATTGCTATGGAAAATCAATGGTTGCTTTGAAAATCAACTGTTGCTATTCAATGTCTCAGGTTGATTTATTGGTTGTAATGAAAAGTCAATAATTGCTATGAAAGCCACTGGTTGCTAAAGAAGTCACTGTTTGCTATGTTAAGTCAATGATTGATATGGCTTTCATTTGTTTATGGAAAGCCAATTGTTGCTATTGAGAACAATTCTTGCTAAACAATGTCAGTTGTTGCTAATGATGTCACTTGTTGATGTAAAAACTTTTGGCCCAACCCTTTTATTATGTTGTGTTATTTTGTTGATGTAAATGAATTGATGTCTATCTATATATGCAATAAAATATTATTAAACTCAGTCAATGATTTATATGAAAGTCACTACTTTCTATGGAATGTCAAACTTTACGAAAGTCAACAGTTGATTCTCTAATTGCTACGGAAAGTCAATAATTGGTATGCAAATCAATTGTTGTAAAGGTAGTCATTTGCTATGAAACTCAAAGGTTTGTGAGAAGGATAAATTGTTGCTATTAAAGTTATTGCTTGCTACGGAAGTCTTTTGTTGCTATGGGAAAGTCAATGGTTGCTATGAAAGTCAGTGGTTATCGTGAAGGGAAAATAATTACTGTGAAAGACATAGGTAAAATTAAACAAAAGTGATTGGTTTCAATGAAGTTAATGATTGCTATCAAAAGGAAATGACTGTTATGGAAATCACTGGCGCTCTCTAAAGGAATTAGTTGCTTTGGAAATTATTTGTTGCTACACAAAGTAAATCATCAAATGGATGCTATAGTAGTCACTGGTTGCTGTGAAAATCATTGGTTGGTAAGCTATAGAAGTCACAACTAAAGTTTTGATCAAACTTGGTAATGGCAATGGCAATGTTTCATGCGAAATATCTCAGCGATTCAGTGAAGTTTCTTTTAAAGTTTTCACAAATACATCTAAGGAAATCTTATAATCTATTTGTAGGGCTTTTTAACCAAAATTGCAAAAAAATATGAACAAACTTTAAAGAGACTGACTAGATGATGTGTCATGCCAAATATCTGAGCTTTGGCACTCAAAAGGTCAGAAAAAACGATTTTTAAAGCGTTACTATAATTAAGTACACAAAAAGAAAACCTGGATGATTGCCCACCCAACCCAGCTGGGGCTAACTTTCATCCTAAAGCTTAAGCTTAACAATTATTCATGCTGAATATCTATGAATTATCTTTCATTGGTTTTGACGAAAATATTGTTTAAATTAATACTATTTGGACATGTTACGTAATGGTCGATGGACAAACTTGGTATTAGTGTTGTGTATTTACTATTATTTATTAAAACGGTGTATTTCATAGGTTCAATCTGGGCTTATTTTCTAATAACCTTTCTGTAATTAGTATATATAAGACCTTAAACCTCAACTCAAGATTCCACGTTATTCAAAAGCACATTAATTATGCCTAAAAAGCAATAAATAACTCATTCTATTATGAGTTTTATACCGTTTAAATAATCGTTTTAGCGCATTTCAGATGCTAATAACCCGCGGAAAGTAAGGCTAAACGAAATAATTTACCTCCCTAGAGCGGGCAATTTTTGACACAATGGATAAAATATGAGCAAAATTAGTAGAGACACACTTGCCATATATCTAAGCTCTAGACAAAGAGCCTTCGGAGAAGTAAATTAAAGTGGGCAATGATGGACCTTATATCATTTATCTGATTACATAGCCTATAATTTACAAGGAACAACTAGTATTGTACACTATACAAAGAAAACGGAAGTCATTTTAAGGTTTACTGGTTCCCATACAAAATATATGCTTGTGGTTGCTATAAAAGACAATGGCATATTGAAATGTTGCTATAGAAATTCAACTTTGGATGTCACTGGTTGCTATGTAAAAAAATTCATTGTTTGCTATGGAAATGCCTGGCTGCTTTGGAAGTCTGCTAAGGAAAGTCAATGGTTGCTACGGAAGTCAATAGCATCAAAAGAAAGTCAATGTTTGCTGTAGAAGTAGCTGGTTGCTATCAAAAATCACTGCCTGGTCATACGGAAAGTCAACAGTTGCTGTAGCAAGTAAATTGTTGCTATGGAAGTCACCGGTGCCATTATAAGTCAACGGTTTGCCATGGGAGTCAACTTAGAAATATGGCTATGGAAATTCAATGGTTGTTATTGAAGTCACTAAGTTAATAGTTGATATGGCAAGTCAATGATTGCTATTGAAGTCATTTACTGTTATGGAAATTCAATGGTTCATATTAATATCTTAGAAATAGGCTTGCAGATTTTAAAAAGACCATTTTTGAAGTACTTACTATATAAGGAAAACGCCATGACGCATGGAGCCCAGACATTTTTAACCCCAGTAATACATAACAAAATATTACATTTACAATTAATTATGTGTTTAATTTTACACGAGGCTGATGCCATATTATCAAACATGCCCTGTTGAACTATTTAGATATATCTAAAACAGTTGTCTGAGTTTGCCATATTAAATTGAAACAAATGTTTTCAGAAAACATTAATATTCCCAATTTGCATATTAATCCGTTTGTTGAAGGAAGATAATTGAGGCTTGGATATCCCTGCTGTTACACCTATTTTTTATTGTCTTGTAGGTATATGCTAGTAATGTGCTTTCACATGCGTAGATGGTTAGAATATCGAAACTAACCTAGATTCGAGTGACAATATTTTTGCCGCCTGAAGTGGGGTTCGAGCCCGATATAAAGACAACTTATATTGTCTCTAAAAATTAAAACATTATTGAAGCACATTGTTTTCTTTTTTATCATTTTCCGGATATTTTACTGTCACATTTTTATCAATTCAAGATAATTTCAATATCATGTTACAGCAGTTAGATGTATCATTCACTGCTGCATATGTAAAGACATAGCAAAGAAAGTAAAAGGCAATATAGTTTGAAACAAAAAAATACATACTAAACAGGCTCATCCACCTACATTTTGTGTGTTAAACGCTGCATTAGTTCGACTTGTTATTACTCTGTGTAAAACAGATGTAATGACGATTTTTCACGCTTTGGTGACTTAGCTAAAATACCACATTTATTTACCAGATAATGAGTGCAAAATGAGCATGTTAATATTTTAAGACAACAGCAAAACATAAAGACACAGCTTACGTTGAAAAATTTGTTAAAATTTTCATTTGTAGCACTAGTATGATTGATTTGTCTGGCATCATAGATTTATTGATCTCAGTTGCCTCAGCATCCTCGGCATTCTGTATGAGTTCCTTTATAAAAAGAAAGAGATAACCCATTTATCATAATCACACAATTACAAAACTTTTTGTGCTTGATAATACTCTGAAAAATACATTCCGCTTTATCACATAAGCAATAATATCATAACTATTTTTCAGGCCTAATTTTCTCTTAATCACATGAACAACTATTATTTCCAGGTTTAACTCCCTTCCGCTTTATCACATAAGCAATACGTATTTTTCAAGCACTTTATCACATGAGAAATGACTATTTCCAGGCTAAACTTCCTTCCGCTTTAATCACACGAACAACTTTTATTTCCAGACTTAACTTCCTTCCGCTTTATCACATACGCAATGGCTTTTTTTTCAAGCCTAACTGCCTTCCGCTTTATCACATACGCAATGGCTATTTTATCAAGCCAAACTGCCTTCTGCTTTATCACATACGCAATGGCTATTTTTTCAAGCCTAACTGCCTTCCGCCTTATCGCATGAGCAATGGCAATTTTCAGACTTAACTACCTTCTGCTTAATCACATGAGCAATTACTTTTTCTCTACTTATAAACCTTAATAATATCGTTAACATAACTTTTTATGGTCGTTAACAAACGCGGGGGAAATATGCGCATGCATGAACCGGTTCTCAAACAAAAGTCGAGAACATCAAAATTTGGTGCGATAATGTGATAATTTTAAACATTTTTTTCATCACTATATAATGATGACGCAAAATCAATCGAAAGAGCAATGCGCCGGTGTAACGTTGTAAAGTGACCCCATAGAAAAATTATACCCCGGTCATTATCTTATATAAAATACTGACCCCTTTATAAATAGAGCAGATAGATAGATAGATAGATCGATCGACTATCTATCTATCTATCTATCTATCTATTTATCTACATGTATTTATTCATCTATATATGCCATCACTTTTTATGTATTAGGTATTTTGACTGAGAGAAAAATCAATTCTTTATCACTTTATTATAAGAACATAAACAGCATACATTAATCATATGAATTTTCTACGAGAAGCACCTTTTCGCAATTATACATGCTAAGTGTGTAAAAGCGCAGTGATATAGCATTCGTCAATGTTTGGATTCCGGAAAAGTCGTTTCATCAACTATAAAGTTACGTTACTTTTCAATTAAATGAATGTTTTTTTTGTTCTTGGTTCATTAATACAGGGTAACATGAAGTTATATGCTGATTTGTATTCAGCATTATTCAAGTCAGCTTATGGTGATAAATGCCTGATCATTAGCAATGAAAGAAATACATTATGTGAAGATACAGACCAACGTTGGTTTGAAATTTTGTGATTTATGATTTTACCTTCAAGTAAGCAAAGAACAAGCACTTATGAAACTCTTAATATATAAATCAATATTGTTAAAAAAAAGAGGAAATAAATACATGTGCATACTATTTAAATTGATTTGGAAATAAACTCACATTATAATGCACCCAAAAGCAGGTTTGAAATTGAAATACTGTTCTTATAAGCTGCACGCTATAACCACTGCGCTTATTCTTCTTCACATTTTATTCTGTTTTATTGCAATAAAATACAGCTCGAATTACGTTGAGACCACTTTGCCAAAGACGCCAAAGGGAAACGATGTCTGAGTTTGAGGTATGACCTTGAACTTTGACCTAGCCACACGGTTCTTGCACGCGACATGCCGTCTTATGATGTTAATTATTTGTTCAGATTATTTGAAATTCAACCAGCTAGTGATAGTGTTATTGTGCAGACAAGCAGTTTTAGACCTTTTTTGCATTTGAACTTAATGTACCACTTTGACCTTTGACCTAGGCAACACGGTTCGTGAGCGCGCAAAAATCAATTGCACGCAACACGCCATCTTATAATGATGAACATTTTGTGCCAGATTATTTGACTTTAAAGTATGACCTTAACCATTGACCGAGCCATACTGTTCTTACACGGGACACGGCATCACATGAGATTGAACATTGGTGCCGGGTTATTTGAAATTCCGCCAGCTAGTGAAAGAGTTATGGTACGGACAAGCTGTTTGAGATCATTATTTTGCATTTGACTTTAAAGTATGACTTTGACCTTTGACCCCGCCACATACTTCTTGTGCATGACACGCCGTCTCATTATTATGCTTAGTTCTTTGAAACTCTGTCTATTAATGAAACATAAAACTGGACGGACAAGACATTATTCATTTAAACGTTAAGTATGATCTTGATCTTTGACCTAGTCACACGGTTTTTGGCGCGACACGGTATCTCATAATGTTTTAAACATTTATGCAAGATTTTTTGAAATTACACTGGCTAGTGAAGTGAGAGAATTCTGGTGCGGACAAGCTGTTTGAGACCATTTTTTGTATTTGACCTTAAACAATCACCTTGACCTTTCACCTACCGAAATGGTTCTTGTGCGTGTCTTAAGATGTCGAACATTTGTGCTAGGTCATTTGAAATTCCACTAGCAATTGATTATGTTATGGTGCAGACAACTTGTTTGAGACCATTATTTTGCATTTGACCTTAAAATATGACTTTGACCTTTGACCCCGCCACATACTTCTTTTGCATGACACGCCGTCTCCTTATTATGCTTAGTTGTTTGAAACTCTGTCTATTATGATCCCAACAAACATAAAACTGGACGGACGCTAGACGCACTTACTTACACCGAGCCGACATTTTGACAACTATGTCGAGCTCACCACAAGCGGGCTCGACAATAAAAATCACTAGACAGATAAAGGAAGTTTATTCAGGAAGTTAATATTGAGGTGTTGTTGAGATAACGTAAGGGTACACTAATCCTTACTATGATTAATACCCTAGACTTTGCGACAACCTTTTGTAAACAAAACCGGTTTATTTATTGACATACTGCTTGGAGACGTACGGATGTTACTATTTTAAAATATGTCCTGTAGTGACAAAGAAATTACATCAAAGGTTCCAAGGAAATGATAATATATACTTTATAAAATATCAATAACACTTTTCAATTTGTAAATTTAATATTTCTTCACCGTAACAAAGGCCGATTTATATGATTCTGTGTAAATGTCCCATTCTTTAAAATTGTACGTACATGCATATAGTAAAACGAAGTTTGAGATACTTACTGAATAGGACATTAAATGTTTGTCGTGCAAAGTAAGTTAAAGTTCGAACGATCTTATATATACTATCAGAAGATAAATACCTACCAAATAACCATTACAATCTTTTCTAACGTGAAAGCTCTTTAAACTCAAATAAAATGCCAAATGAAAATTAATTGATTGGATCAGATTTCAAATTTAAGTCTACAGTGGCACTGGCCTATGACCTACAGACTTGAGAATTCATGAAATGATATGTGAGCTTTAAATGAATTTGATCAGACTGAAATAATGTACAGTAAATGATCCTTAGAATATTGAACTTATATATTCTTTCAAATTAAAAATCAAATATAACCGTGACTTTTGACCTTTATTCTAAACTTTTAAACACAGTTTTTGTTATCAAATACCTGTTATCATCATATAAATATTTAAAGTTTGTGGGTTATACATAATTATTGAGCAGACACTTATATCAATGGCTGTAAATCGCCTTAAATCTTATGTTTTGGTTGGTAAAAATATCGTACTAACACAGCATAGGTTATATGGTGTATTTGTGGCTTTACTTTACTGGTAGAGGAAAACCTCCCATTATTTCAGGCACGAACATGCACTTGAATAGAACCACCAATGCTCTGTAAGCTAGTTGTAAAGCTCCCTCACATGTATCGAAAGCCCCTGTCGGGGTTTAAACCTACAGCGGTAAGAGGCAAGTGGTTCGAAGTCAACGACCTCAACCACTCGGTCATGGACGCAGCTTAATACAGTTCTTAAAACACATACAGGACAGACGGGAAAGAAATAACACGTATCTTCAAGATTAGATCGAGGAAACATATATATTCAAATTGAATTCTATAATGGCACTTGTACATTTTAATTATTTACCTTCAGAATTTGGCCACCATCCGGGTACTCTGAGAGTATACCTTTTAACTGTTTGATGAGTGGCGGTTGTCTCATAGAGGAGAAGCTTATGCCTGGATCAAACATTCCGTCGCTGGATGACTCTGAAATTATTCAATTATTTTCATTATTAATTAAACCGAGTAAGTGACATATCAGTCCATTGATTGACCAACTTTAAAAGAAAATAGCAATACCAATACATTATGAACGATATCTATAAAAAGAATAGTCAAACATAAAATTGAACAAAATTGTGGCAAAATTTCAAGTTTTTTTTTTTTTAAATTTTACCTATTCATTGCCAATTTACAAGTGGATTGACATAATGCTACGGATCGGCATTTTGCCACTTGAAACTTTTGCAGAAAAAAGTAATAAATAATAATACTAGTTCAAAACTTTCGGGAAATGTCAAAAGCTTAGAGTGGAATACAGATACAAATCTAACCCACAAGCCATTTAGTGGGGATTATACCATCCGACTGTTCCCAATGCACCTAGGCACTTTACCAAGGGATTGATTAACTTTAGTAAACATCATAGCCTTATCTCGGGCTGGGCACAAGGTTGCAAAAGATTGGTGCACTAGGCACTATAATTTTACTGAGAGTTGTAATATTTAGACTGATTTTTGTGTGAGCGAAATCTCCTTATAAATCGAGATTCTGACCAAGAAAAACAAGAATGTGCATGCCTTTCTCCCAGTGTCACCACACGTCAGATAACAGGCCATAGCCACACTATCATGCTTATATATTATATATAAAGAATTTCAAACCACTTGCAGCACACCGCTGTGGGTTCGAATCCCGACATGGACTTAAGAATATTTCATGTGAGGAAGCAATCCAGCTAGCTTACGGAACGGCGGTGGTTCTACTCAGATGTCCATTCGTACCCGAAATACTGCATGGAAGGACACCTGATGTCTTCCTCCACCAGTAAAGCTAGGACGTCAACTTATTACCTTTTCTGTGTCGTTGTGACGTAAATCCTAATCAAACAAACTAACAAAATATGTAAAGAATATTATTTATAAATTATAAAGTATATAAGCTTATTCATGTATATTGATAGTGTGTCTAGCTCCTATATGGGGCCAGATGAACAAATATATTCCAAATGGCAGTTTTTTTGTTTGTCTTTTTCCAATCTTAGAAATAAATTCTCAATCGAACTGATATTCGAGACATTCAAACTGACAAACTTGCAGAAGATCATTGCGGTATCGTAACAATACAAATGTAGCCCTCACATTTCATTGTCAAATTGTATTTTATTTTGATGTGCCGTTAGTTGAATTCATAATACTACGCCTACAGAGTTTAAGCATTTTTGCGATGCCAAATTTCCAAAACTGACGTATTTTCATCCAATAAAAAGCGCTAGGAAATGGCATGATTGTAACAGAGCTAACCAGCGTCCCCTCCCTAAGTGTGACTGTTGGGTTTATTGTAAGCACAAACTAGTGTTTTTTTTTTAACTTTAAGATATAGATCTTTCAGTGCAAAATCTTGATAAATGCTACATTTGCACATGCAACAATAAATTCATCAAAAAATATAATTTCTGTGTATGTGTCAAAAGAAATTATGTGAACTGTTTTTTGTCAATGACAGTAAGAGCATACTATACAGGGAATATTTTTAAAATATTTAAGTATCCATCTTGCTGTCATCATTTTGAGTTTTACTGGAATCTCTTTAATAATTTAGAAGTTACATTCTGGACAATAAAAATACAGACCATGTTAATCTTTGGCCACTACCTGTGATCTTGACATTGATGGTAAAGGTCTGGGCGTTGCGCGCATGACACATTTACTTAATATGTTTGATATTTGTGTCAAGTAATTCAAAAAAACACTTGATGAATCGGACACAGTGTGCCGGACGGAGAGACGGACAGACAGACAGACAGACAGACAGAGTCTATTTTTATATCCCTCCCCCGCGGTGGCCAAAATATATAAAAAATATCAAAATATTTTGACTTCATGCACATAAACAATGTTTATTGAACAACAAAAATGAAACAATAAAAAATACTCCTTAAACGAATATCAAAATAAATTGCTACTTACCCATTTTGTTGGTTTGTCTGGTTTTGATTATTTAGCAATCTCAAATATCTTCCTTTCCGGATATTATAATGTTAATACAAAATATGTTAATCTTAAAAGGTTACATTTATCTACAAACTACACAACGGACCATTTCAACTGCGCTGTAATTACACTACACTAAATACAGTGTATATTAAAAATCTTACTTTATTTCAACTCGTTTGTAATATAAAACTTATTCACAAGTTACAATAGAATAGGAGTCTAGTTACATCTGAACTAACATGAACAACTAAATCTACACTACATGCGAAAATGTTTAACCTTAACCATTGTCAATGTCAAATGGTTGGTTTTCCGAAAATGAGCTGCAAATGATTTTCAAAAATTAGACAAGCATTGTACATAACACGTGATTGTTATGAACTGGCATACTTTATAAATAAAATAGATAGATAATAGCCACACTTCTGCCTCCATTGTTCACATTCAGCTCACTATTCGATTTTATAATTTCAATACCTAAAGAGTTTGATGTGGTTATTTATTTGCTTTATAAAAGAATCAATGTTACTAGGAGAAACATCACATTCAATATATAAAAGTTGTTAATAATGTGTTTAATATAATATATAAAACCTTTACAACACCACATGCTCTAGTATCAATAGCTTAAATGCTTGTATTGTAAATAAATTATAAGCTTGGGTTTTATGAAAATGTGCATTGTATCGCCTTTTTAAAATTATAATGGCATCGAAGCTTGACTAAAAGCACTTTCAGTAGATCAATGCACTCGGTATTTAACATACATATTTAAGCTATAGCCGTGAAGTACGCGGGGTAACGGACAAGCGGTGTGGCGGGCTGGCAGTGTGAACTGGGCAGCGGACTAACAGTGTGAAATGGGCAGGCTAGCAGTCTAGCGGGTTAATAGTGTAAACTGAGCGGGCTAGCAGTCTAGCGGTCTAACAGTGTGAACTGGGTGGGCTAGCAGTCTAGCGGTTTAGCAGTGTGAACTGGGTGGCCTGGCGGGCCAGCGTGCTAAACTCTAAAACTTAACTGATTAAACATGAAAACGTTATGATACATATCATAGCAATGTGAAGTGGGCCGGCTAAACAGTGTAGCGGGCTAGGGCAGTGTGAACTGCAGGCCCGGGCCTGGCGGGCCAGCCGGGCTATACTTTTTTTTTTTGGAAATTTAACTCCAAATTTTGAAAGCCAACATGAAAACGGTTATGAATCATTTCCTAGCATGTTTGAAGTAGGCTGTGGGAGCGTAACCCAGTGGTAGACGGATAGCTGGAGTGTGAACTTGGGCGGGTTGGCGGGCCAGCGGCTTAAACTTTAATACTTAATTAATCCACATTTAAAACCTCATGATATCTTTCTCCTAAGCAGTGTGAAGTGGGCGGCCGACCAGTTTTTTAGGCGGCAGCAGTGTGGAGCTGGGCGGGCTGACGGGCCAGCGGGCTAAACTCTTAAACTTAAGTGATTGAACATGAAAACGTTATGATACATTTACCTTGGGCAGTGTGAAGTGGGCGGACTAACAGAGTAGCGGACGTAGCATTTAAAACCTTATGAATAAATTCTCTAGCAGTGTAAGACCGGGCGAGCTAACAGTAATTGCGGCTAGCGTCAAATTCAGGTGCTAGCAGTCTAGTGGTCTAAATTCCCCATAACTAAATTATTTTAACAAACTAAAACGTTATGATGCAATAATTTTTAAATGACAACGTTTATGAAAACTACATTCCTAGCACTGTGAAAAGTGGGTGGTATACACAGTGTAAGGGGCTAGCAAGTGTGAACTTGGGTCGGGCTGGCAGCCAGCGGGGCTAAACTTTTTAATCTTAAATTTAAAACCCCATTTTAAAAACCCTTGGGGATACTTTTTCCCTTTAACAGTGGGGGAAATGGGGCGGGCTGACAGTGTAGCGGCTAGCAAAGGGAAGGGGGCGGGCTGGCGGGCCAGGGGGTTTTTAAAACGGGGGTAAAAAATTTTGTTTCAACATGAAACGTTATGAAAAATTTTCCTGGGCAGGGGTTGAATGGGGGGGTTAAAAAGTGTGGGTGGGTTTTGGGCTTTGGTAAAACCTCATTTTAAGTGAAGCAAAAAGATGCACCAGGGGTACATACTTTGCTGTAAATTTCTTTAACAATTACAGAAAGTTTGGGTTAAATTTAAATTGCCCAAAATTTAAAAATTTTTATGTTGCGGGTTTTTTTTTTTTTTTTTCATTTAAATTTTTGGGTTTTTTTTCTGTATATAATAAAACAATTTGAATATAAATTTCTAAATTTTTAAACTTTTAAAGTGTAAAATATTTGTAAACAATTCCCCAAGGTGTGTATAAAATAACCCAAAACAAGCATTTTACCCGGGCCCCGGGATTTTCACATTTGCTACAAAAGGGCTTTCATATAAGGTTTTTAGGTTAAAAAAATTTAGAAAGGAAATTTAAAGCCCAAACAAGATTTGGCTGACGCTAAATTTGCCCCGGGGCTGGGCCCCCGCTACACTGTTAGCTGGGCCGGGTTTTTAAAACGCAAAAGGAATGTACCCAAAAAAAAGGTTTTTTAAATTTTTTTTAATTCCCCCAAATTAAAAAAGGTTTTTTAACCCCTTTTTAGCCCCCCGGGCCCGCCCCACCCCGTCCATTTCATAATGTAGCCCCGCTCCCTTGTTACCCGCCGCCCATTTCACACGGCAAAGGGAAAGTATTTTTAATTTTTTTCATGGGGAATTTAAGTTAAGTTTTACATTTAAACCCGTGGCACCCCGTTGGGCCAAAATTTTCCACACGGGCCTACCCCGCTAAAAACGTAAGCCCCCCCGCTTCACCCCGGTTTGGGAAAATGTTTCATAACGTTTTCATGTTGATTAAATTTAAGTTTTAAAGTTTACCCCGCTGGTTTCGCCACCCAGGGCTCAGTTTACCCCTGCTACCCCAAACACTGTTATCGCCCCCCACTTCACCTCCTGGGAAAATGTTAAATTGGGGTTTTAATTTTGTTTCCAATTAAGTAAAAAAATATGGGGCCCCGCTGGCCCCGCCAGCGCGCCCGGTTCACACGGGCTAGCCCCCCCTAAAACCGTTCCCCCCCATTTTTACCTGCCGCCTCCCGGGGTAATGTTCATAACGTTTTCATTTTTCAATCAGTTAAGTTTTAAGGACCATAGCCCTTTTGGGCCCCCCCAAACCCCCGCCCAGTTCACATTTTGGTACCCCGGCTTTACACTTTTCCCGCCCCTTTTTCCCCAACACTGTTTGGGAAAATTTTTTATCTTTTGGGGTTTAAAAATTTTGGTTTTAAAATTAAGTAAAAAGTTAGCCTTCCTTTTTTCCCCGCCCTTTTTCAAAACTGTTTACCCCCGAACATTTACCCGCCTTTTTTTCACACTACTAGGAAATTTTTTCATAACGTTTTTGTTTTTTTGGATTCAAAAAAGGGTTTTTTAAATTTAATTGGGCCCCCGGGGCCCGGGGCAGCGCCCCCTTTTTTAAAACTGCTGGGCCCGTTTAAAACTGTCAGCCCGGGGCCAAACCTTTTCCCATTTGCTAAAAAAATTTATCTTTGAGGTTTTAATTTGATTAAAATAAGTTTTTTAAAGTAAGCCGCGGGCCCGCCAGCGCGCCCACTTTACACTGCTAGTCCGGCTACATTTGGTTAAAGCATACCCGGCTTTCAAAAACTCCCCAAAACCCTTTTGTCAGGTAAGGGTATCATAAACGTTTTTCATGTTCAATCGGGGTTAATTTTTAAAGACCATACCCCCGCTGGCCCGCCAACCCCCCCGGGCCCAAAATTTTGCGGCCCGGTTTAACACTTTTTTTCCCCCCCCATTTCAAAACTGCAAGGTTATGTTAAAATTTTTCATTTTCAATACTTAAGTTTAAGAGTTTACCCCGCTGGCCCGTCGGGCCCCGGCCCGCCCCACACTGCTAGCCCGCAAAAAACTTTTCAGGGGGCCCCACTTCAAATCCCTAGGAAAGTAGCTTTGGGGTTTTTAAAATGGGGGTTAATAAGGGTTTAAAGTTTACCCCCGTTGCCCCCCCATTTCCCCACTGCTAGTCCCGCTACACTGGTTTAGCCCGCCCACTCCAACACTACTAGGAAAATTTTCAAACTTTTTTGGTGTTGAATTCAATTTAAGTATTAAAGGGTTAGCCCGCTGGCCCGCCTAGCCCCGCCCAGTTCACCACTGCTAGCTCGCTAAACTGTCAGTCCCGCACCCCTTCACACTGCTAGGAAATGTATCATAAAATTTTTTAATGGTGAATCAAATTAAGTATTAAAGTTTAAGCCCAGTGGCCCCCGCCCAGCCACCGCCAGTTAAACTGCTAGTGCCGCTACTACTGTTAGCCCCGGCGCCCACTTCACACTGCAAGGTAAAATTATCATAATGTTTTCATGTTCGAATCACTTAAGTTTAAGAAATTTTAAACCGCCTGGCCCGTCAGCCGCGCCGACTCACACTGCTAGCCCGCTAAAACTGTCAGCCCGTCCACTTCACACTGCTAGGAAATGTTTCATAACGTTTTTGTGTTGAATCAGTTAAGTTTTACAGTTAAACCCGCTGGCCCGCCAGCCCACCCAGTTCACACTGCTAGCCCACTACACTGTCAGCCCGCCCGCTTCACACTGCTAGGAAATGTATCTAAGGTTTTAATATGGATTCAATTAAGTATTAAAGTTTAGCCCGCTGGCCTGCCAGCCCGCCAAGTTCACACTGCTTAGTCCGCTACACTGTTTTACAGTTAAACCCGCTGGCCTGCCAGCCCGCCAAGTTCACACTGCTAGCCCGCTACACTGTTAGACCGCCCACTTCACACTGCTAGGAAATGTTTCATAACGTTTTCATGTTGATTTAATTAAGTATTAATGTTTAGCCCACGCCCAGTTCACACTGCTAGCCCGCTACACTATTAGCCCGCCCACTTCACACTGCCAGGTAATGTATCATAACGTTTTCATGTTCAATCAGTTAAGTTTTAGAGTTAAACCCGCGGTTTGTGTGTCTTTTTTTGATAATGTTACAGGAGTCCAAATCAGACCGGTCTAACAACAAATGCTGTCCATTGTAAGGTAATAAAAACACTCATCGTTCAATCAATTACCAGGCCAATGTTGATGAAATTTACTCAGGGTGTTTATTTCTTGAAGGTATATATATATATTAAAAAAACATACACAGAACGAAAGTCGTGGCAAATAGACTAATTTAGAGGATCAAAACAAGCTTATTCAATTAAGGATTTGGGGATATAATTAAACAGCGACAGCTCTCTGGTCATCTGTATCTATATTGATTTAGTAGTGAAAATATTGATAAAAGTAGTTTGGATATGAAAACAAAAAACCAAACAAAAAACAGTTGATAAAGATATAAGTGTTTTAATATGAACATTAATATCATGAATGATAATATTTTGTTAAAGAACATTTTATAAGTTGGTATGCAACTATATTTATACATGCATGTAATATTGGACCATATAAAAACTCACACTTGCAAACAAAATCAGTGTTTCAATCAGATTTATGAACATTACAAACTTTGTATTATTAAGAGGATATTTTTTCGTTTGAGTGAAATATGGAATATATTTCACTCAACATGATAAAATGCCACATATTTTCACGAGCCGGGACGGCGAGTGAAAATATGTAGCATTTTATCATGTTGAATGAAAATATATACCATATTTCACGAAAAACGAAAAAATAATCTTTTTATTTAATTTCATTATCAAAGAAAATGGTTACGAACCCCATTGCTTGCTACGAAACTTCAACTGTACAGCGCGCAGTAATATATTATTGCGTTTTGTTTTACACGCGATATTTGGCGCTACATTGTGACGTCACGTAAACAACTCTATAAACGTCTGTACAGCGTTTATAACTGAATTAAAGATATTGGTGTTCGGATTTATTTTCTTAGTTAGACCATTTGCTATCATTCTAGATAGTTTTCAAAACAAAATTCAACAAAAAGTTGTTTTGTATTTCTCAGATTTTCAAACAAAATGGCGAAAGAAGTCCCTTAAAATAAATATGAGTTCCGACTCCGCCCACTTTCATATTTATATTTCATATTTATTTTTAAAAAATATGAAATATATTTGCCTGATATAGCACCATATTTCATGAGTAAAATTAAATAAATGTAACATATTTAACGGATTTCTTTTATAAAAAATATGTTCAGTTTGCAAAGCACCCAATAGCTCTGTTAAAAGACCAAACATTTTGCTATAATACTTTAAAGCTTTATCCTTCAAAGGATCTTCACACGACGGTACAAGGGGCGTCCGTGGCGGAGTGGTTAAGGTCGTTGGCTTCAAACAACTTCACTGTGGATTCGAATCCCGACTCGGATCATTTCATGTAAGGAAGCTATACAGCTAGCTTATGGACTATCGGCGGTTCTTCTCACTCAGGTACCCGTCCGTGCCTAAAATAATGCATGGAAGGGCATTTGACGTCTTCCTCCACCAGTAAAGTTGAAAAGCCGCCATATGACCTTTACTGTGTTGGTGCAATGTAAAAAGCAACCAAATAAAACAACCACTGCTGTACGTGTATATGTACTCCTTGAAAACAACGACGAAAAAATCGACTATTCGGATTTCTTACAGAATCATCATTTATAAAACCTTTCTAGCTGGTTATAAATGTGTACGCGTGTGTGTGAATTTATCTTTCATTTTTGTTTCTTTCATGTGTTTAATCACATTTTTCAATAACATTTCAACCATAACAATATTGCTTGAAACGAAGTTGAGTCAAACGATCGCCATGTAAAAAAGATTAAAAACAGGTTTAAAAGGTAAAATGAGAATATTTTATTAAAAAAGAAATTTATAATGAGCGGTGCTTATTTTCAAGCTACTAATACCCATTAAAAGTCTCTGTAATTTTCTTATCCATGGAAATAAGACATATGCTATATGAGAATAAGCTTAATAAGTATGTTAAAATGGCCTTGTCTCATTTTTTTCAGGTTTTGTAACAAAATTGATTACCAGGCAAATAATTTGGCAGTTGCCCTAGCAAAAGTATGATTAAAAATCTTTAGTACCTCCTTTAGTAATCTATTTCTTTACTCTATAAATGTCGTCATACATTTGTATGCCTTATGGTTGATAGACCTTTTTAATATCAAAAAGAGTTATGCTGAAACAAGTAATTGTAATGAAATTGAAGAAATAGACTGAACAGTAGAAATGAATCATTGGAACAAATACAATGTGATACAACATAAAACAATATGTGACTGTGAAACAATTAGTACATTATTGATTAAAAAATTGATGAAAGTTTCAATAATAATAATAATAATAATAATAATAAAGCAACATCAAGAGATGAAAATCTACAATTCCCCACTGTCTATTGAAGTTTATACCTACGATAGCATCGCCTTAAATTTTGGAGTGTAAATTTAGCATTCTTTACAGTAGAGACAAAGAACATGGCTACTACATAAGTTCTAATTGAGACTCTGTCTTCTCTTCAATTTGTTTTATTCCTTTTGATAATGGTAAAGCTAAATATGTACGCCTGGAACGTGCACTTGAAGATTCTCCTATGACCATACCCAATGCATGAACTTGTCTTCTTCCAGGGTCTTCTACACATACAACGGCTCCACTGTCGCCTTTCTCTGCAAAGTGCTCAGAGTGGATAGCAATGTCTTCAATTTGAATCAATGGAGAAGTCAAACCACTTAGTACAATAGGCATTGTTATTTCACCCACACCAGGTTTTGACACCGCACCATGAATATGCACTGACTGTCCACTTCTACATATATCATCCTCCTCATTTACATTGTATCCATGTAATCTACCCATTAATGGTTGTCCGCGGATATCTTTAAATTTTGTGGGGCTTTCCTCACCAACTTGTTCATTTAAAACACTGCTGAGATATCTAAGCCTCCTTCACAATGATTGTTTGTCTCTGCGTTTCATTACACCGAAATTTTATCTCGTTACCATTCGGCAACATAATATTACGTCGTTGAAGCCTTCGGTAACATGTTTTGAAAGGAAACAGTATTGTTGGTTTCCTTCCTTTGTCTTAACGAAGCCACCAAGTGTTCCGCCTTTTTGAAAATTTTAAATACGGTCTTTGATCTAAAAGAAATGCATTGTTTCAGATGATTTTGCCGTCTATTTTTTGCTCCGTGTGCATAAACTCTTGTATTTTTCTCACCGCATTGTGCTATTTTAAAAGGAAATATTTCATACTTCTCAAGTACCATACGGATTTTATTGTTTCGGATCTTTTCTTCCTTTAATGTCAATGGCTGAACTGCATATATGTAAAATGTGCGATAGCGATACCCTATTCTTTTGACTGTTGGACAAATCTTAAACATTTCTTCCGTCATCTAAAATAAAAAAAGACTATCAAATTATGATTTGTTGCCTTCAAAAAGCACGCATTACTCTTAGCTGTAAAATTTTGCGTTCATTTACTAGAAATCTCACTCCTTAAACCATTACTAAATCATAGGAATGAAATTATCACTGTATGATGATATAACTTACTGTAGCACTTAAACGATTTACCTGTTCATCGATCTTTTTATTGAGTTTTGGAACTCTAGGTCTGTACACTTCTGCAACATTACTCATTCCATATATAGCCAGAATCGCTTCTAGAAGTTGCTCTGCATTCTCTGCTATGTTCGGATGATCTTTTCTTTTATCATCTGCACAATTTTAAAAAATAACATAACAATTTATTTGGATGGATAAATTAAAGCATCCATAAAAATTAAGAGAACGTTACATAAACTCTAGTAACTGTAGTAATATATAATAAAAGCGTCATGTTTGTATATTGATTACCTCACTAGTTAAGTGTCAAATTGCTAATAAGCGACGCATGTTTTTGTTTTTGATGTTTTTCAATTTTGTTGCTTTTTCCCACTAAGGACCACACATTTTTTGCCAAAATATTGGTCGGGCCAAGGCTGTGCCGACCGGACCGTCGACGACCATCTGAATAATCCTGATATGTTTGTCTTAACAACTTAGATTTGTTTTATGTAAATTGTGTGTTTTATTTTCATTGTTTTAACGGCTCTTTTACTGCAATCAAGAATATGTAAAACAGTCCAATGGAAATATCAACAAGAAAGTAGTGCAACTTGCTTTTAAAATATCATGCATAATATTTTAACGTTATTACCTTCTTTTAAGACACTCCCATTAGTGTCTCTCGGCCTCTTTTTAGATTTCCCTAGAGAGGACCGTGTACTTTCGTCAACGTCTGCACCCAGGCCGCAATCATTGAAACCGTTGGTATTGCCAGCAATTCTAAGATGTGACCTTGTTCTCTTATATATGGCTGTAGAAGTTTTAAAAGATATGTCCTTTTTTATTACATCTGTGCATTTTGATGTCGAACCGTTAGTAATTCTCTCAGTTTTATTATTTGTTCTTGACCCACTAGTTACAGTAGAATTTCCAAGCTTGCGTTGCACTGGGTTAATCATTGAGTGTTTGTCACCATGGAAACCGTTACTTTGAATGTTTTGTTTCTTTTTCTTTATTTTTGACAATTTATTTGGTTCATCTTCGTTCCCATGAATGGTTGAGTTTTTCTCATGGAACATATCATAACAATGTTCACAGATTGGTTTCAGTGGTTCCAAGGATATCCGTTCTAATAAATCATCAATTTCACCCAATAAGTTTTCTCTTGTTGCAACCGTAACATTCGTTTTACCAAAATATTTATCTTCAATTTTTGTTTTGGCATCTTTATTGATAGCTTACAGTATCATGTGAATTTTATATTTGCTAAGAAACTTTATTTCACTTTTGTCTTTATCATTAGCAATGAATACGTGCACAGAGGCCTCATTTTTCATCCCTTCCTGTAGAAAACAGTTACTATTGCTGGAATCAAATATGTCACCTTCAAAACTATATGAGGAATTATAAATTTCAGACATTAAAGAATTAAGTCTTACAGGAAAATAAGTATCACTTTTTCTCTTACACAACACTATCGTAGCGTATTTCTTTTCTTGCACACATTTTCCCTCGCGCATTAAAGTAATGTATCTAGATTGCAATTCTATAGTTTTTGCAGATGCGTTGTCGAAGCGCGGAAACCTTTCGCGAGGAATTAAAACACTTTTAAAATCCATTTCGTACTGTTTATTTTGGTTTGTGACTGAACTATATGTTTAAGTGAAGAAGACTATCATGTGAAACTCATTCAAAATGAGATTTGCTCTTCCTGGTCAAATGATTGAAATTAAATACACACAGATTGTTTATTTAGTTCATAAGCACTATCTTCATGTTATCAATTGTACAAAAAGCTTAAGTTGATATATATATATATCCCTCGGTCTAGCACGCCTACAACATTTATAAGCTCCTCCTTTATCAAATGATTGTCATTTCCAAAATAGATTCATTTAAAGTACATTTTCGTGTAAACAAACTTCTCGAGAAGAATATCTCTTATTGAAAATCATATGTTGATAACCAATTATAGAAAATCATACAATATCAACTTGAATTCAAAATAAAATGTACATGTCCATATATACATAAGTATCTCGAGTGCGCCACTTAATTATCTTAGTAACACGTGCGCATGACTTAGTAACACACACGTCACCTCTGTGCCACCGTAGAAAAGACATAAAATCACCTTGACAAAAAATCAAACATGTCTAAAAAGTAAAAGAGCAATGTTGATAAAATTCTCATATTTGTGATATAAATGAATTGTTTTGTGAAAATATTTCTGATCAAAGTGAGAAAACTTAAGATCACTTTCTCCAAGCATTTCGTGAAATGAAACCCATTCTACGTTTGAGTACATTATGCACTTTTAATGCATTTCAAATCTTTCAAAAAATAATTTTCTTTTATGGGTCATGTGTTCCTCCTCGTGGTGTGGCCTGGAAGCAGCGGACTTTTAACCATCTGTAACTAAATTCTCTTCGAAACAAATAATTTTGTTTGAAATAAATAATAATAAAATTATAAATTAAAGATAAAAAGGGACAGAAGTATATTATATTAATTTGTACAATCATTCGAAGCACTTACAAATTATTATAACATAATAGCTGGGAAGTCGCCATATGACCTATACTGCGTCGGTGCGAAGTTAATCTCAATAAAAAGTGCTGGATTTTTTGCATTAATCGCTTCGAATGACAATTTATTAATCAATTATAACAACAATTTGAAATGATGTAATTTTTAACGAAGACAACAACAAAGTAATTTTTAACAAAGACATATGCTTTTATTTTCCAGTATATATCCTAGTTTGTTTCCATTCATTTTTAATTGACAATGTTTTGAGCTGTGCTAAGGCAGTTTCAGTTTCAGTTATCCATTGTTGTTAAAACACTTCAATCTAGTGTCATTATGCTAAATCTGGCCAATGGAAATAGAAATTAAACCATGATCATGCAATGTCAATGTACTCTTCATGTTTAAAAAGGACAGTGTTTATTCTGAGTTGTTTAAAATAGGAAGTAAACATTTCTTTTGATTTTCTATACATTACAGAAAGTGTAACTGTTGAGTCGTACACTTCTACTTAAAATAGCTATTTAAAAGGTAATTTATTGCACATTATTATATTTTGTTACAAGTGTTGGTACAAGATGACTGACTAGCAAAACATTGTTCTAAAGTTCACTCTTAATATGTCATCAAGTATTTGTGGGCCCCTCATGTCAGCCATTATGACAACATAAATTACCAATACTGATCAAGCAACAAGTTTAGGACTCTTCCTGGGTCTGGTCCTGATTTTGATATGGAGTAAAAGAGGAGCAACAGTAACATTTATATTTACTGTCCCTCTGCTGTCTATTTATGTTTATCTGCCACATTTAAATACAGTCAAAACTGCCCGATCGGCCACCTTTATAAAGCGCCACCTGCCTAAGTGCGCCACCTCTGGACATCCCCAATGTAAATTACTATATATGTCTCTTATAAGACGGCCATCTGCTCAACGCCGCCAACGGCCAGCAATTTTCATCCCCAAATGGCCAAAATTACCAGATCAAACGGCCATTACAAGAACGTTTGTCGCCATTTTGGATCCAATATTTTTTCTGTACCATACCGTTTTCGTACCGTTTTACATTATTTTTTTCCAGAAGTCGGTAAATTTGTTTGTACGTGAAATTATAATTGTGCGTAGAAATTTCTTTTGAATTAACCATATTAACGAAATCTAACTGCAAAGCAAAATCTAAGCTGTCCAATTGATAAAGTTGAATCTATACCTTTCAATGTCTAATAATCGCTAATCCGATTGTTTTGAAGACGTGTCAACATACATGTGTAATATGATCACGGTATCAATCTAATACACGCTGCGGGGCATGACCTTTCTTTGTTTGCATAATCGTGGTAGCTATTTATTGTCGCAAATCAAAGCGTTACTCGGCAAATTTCTTCGTTTGTATTGAGAACAATTTTTATTTTTTTTTAATTTCCTTTGTGTATGAATAAAACGTAATTGATATATTTTCCTAAAGTTTATGGAGTTGAAAGAAATTAAATTGAATCAATAACCGAGCATAGTTAACTTTGTATGTCTGACTTCTAGGCTTTTTTACACAAAAATAATGTGTCAAATTACTTTTACTTTACAATGTATATCTGACTACCTGACTTTAATTTTAAAATGCACATTTTAACACTTTTTATCAATTACATGTATATGTTCTTCTTAATATTAGATTTTCAACATAACATATTAAATTCTATGATTTGAATGTTTTATTTAAAAAAAAAAACAAAAAACATTACAAATCATGGTGTTTTACGTCATATCTAAAAAATAGTTTAAAACAGTTACTTTTCCTAGCCAGAGTTCAGCCCTGGATAGCCAGAGTTCAGCCCTGGATAAGAGAGCCACCTGTATAAGAGAGACACTTTTACAAATTCCCAATACTGTCTCTCTTATACAGGTTTGACTGTATTGAAATGCATTGTTGCATTTAGTTAAAATATTCATAACTCGCGATCAAGTCATATGAGATACTTGTAAATTATATAAAAAGCTTTCATTCTAAGCTGTGTAATTTTGAGCCGCCATGGGCATCTTGTTACATATTGTTCAGCTATTGTCTGACATCTTATTTTTAGATACAGTAGGAATAGCAAAGTAAATTGAAAACTTTCATTCTAAGCTGTGTAATTTTGAGCCGCCATGGGCATCTTGTTACATATTGTTCAGCTATTGTCTGACATCTTATTTTTAGATACAGTAGGAATAGCAAAGTAAATTGAAAACATAAGGAAGAAGCCTGTTTAATGGATTGTCTTCAAACTACAGCATAATTATCTGACTTTAAGGATAGATCTTCAAGTTAAACAGGCATACTTTAACCTTCACTGATTAATAACATTGACAGTAAAGGTAAACGGATAAACTTCATATTTAGACACATGAACTAGGTCAGAACCTTCATGTGTATTATATTCCGATTGACCTTTACAATGACCATGAAGGTCGAGTTTTCACTTATTATCGCTATAATTGGCTTTAATTAGTCAATAGATTATTTTCATTCTTAGGCAAACAACCTTTTGGACAAGACCTTCTAAAAGGTTGAACTGACGTTTACCTTGGGGTTAAAATTACCCCGATCGTCAAGGTTAAAATATTAAATTTCGGTTATGTTGTCATTGTTATTTATGTACCAATTTGACTCATTAATAGACAAAATAACACATGAGACACTTTAAGCTCGATTATCTTTTTTGCTGTTGCCGTCCGCAAACTTTAACTTTTTTTAATTCTTGATGTATTGTCTTCATCCTTGGCCACAACAAACTTTTGGACAAGTCCTTTAAGTAGACCAGACTAAACTTTATCTGTATTCATACATGACCTTGACCTTCAAGGTCAAATGTCTCAAATTGCTTGATTTTTGCTGATCTTTGCTTTTAGTGGCTATATTTTGTTATTTTCAATGAATTGTCTTCAAACTAAAACACAACAATCTTTGAGACATTCTAGTATACCAGAAAGACTTTGACATTTACACATAAATGACTGACCTTAAAGATCAAATTATTAAAAATTTCATTTTTTTTTTGCTGTTACATGTTATTACTCTGTTATTAATGAATGGATTGAATTCATATTTGGAAACAATATTCTTTAGGATATAACTTTCAGGTTAGTTAAACTCAAATTGACCTTGGCTGAAAAATTGACCTTGACCTTGAAGGTTAAATTTTTGAAACTTCACTGCTTTTTCTAGAATTCACTGTAACTTGATAATCAATAAATAAATCATTAACCGTGATCATCAAGGTCAAATTAATTAAACTCTCTCGAGTTTTTCTGTAACTGGCTATAACTTAGAAGCAACGTCATTTAGGTCAAAATATGATAAACAAGATCAACAAGGAAAGGCGGCGTTCAATACCTTTTTGTATATCAAACCCGAATGACCTTGACATATGTATGACACCGACTTTGAAAGTCAAATTATTGCATATGTATTGATTTTATTACAGTTTGGTGAAACATGGTCTTGTTAATTAATGAATGGACTACCTTTATACTTCAAACAACCTTTTGGGCAAAACCTTTTAAAATATTGAACAAACATTGACCTTAAAAGTCCTTGGTCAAATTATTGAAGTTTAGCTAAATTGTGGTAATTTTGGTATGCATTAACGGATTAGATTAATACTTGAAAAACAAGACTTGTTACCAATCAAACATATTGGATAATTTAGAAGTGACCTTGAATTTTAATTGACATAGACCGTCAAGGTCAAACTAATAAAAGTCTCTTATTCTTTCCTATAGCTATGACATTTGGACCATGTGCACAGTTTCAGATGTAAAATTAAATTTTGATATCAGCTTGTTTAAACCTTTTATTTGTTTGCTTCTAGAAAACGAAAAATAGGTTGCCCCCGCCCCGCCAAGTCTTTTGTTTTACTTTTTCATAACAAAAAGAATTTACATGCTGTCAACCGACATTGTTTTACTTCCTCGTGTTCATAAACTTACCACTTTGATGTTTTAAAAATTCAGATTGCAAGCTTATAAAACAAGAAAGTCATTACAGTTTAAATTATATAACCAAAATATTATATTCAGAAATTATTGAATAATGCAAGCCCATATTGTTGTAATGCAGTACTTTAAAGCAAATACATATTAAATGTCACTGAGAAAGACACATATGCTCAATCATAGACAATTCCCGTTTCATGTAGATTTTTTCTGCAATATTCATAACTAGTGAAAATATTTATTTGAGATTTAATACATGTTTATGGCATTATTATTGGATACTGTTATCCAAGGCATGTAACTCTGGCATTGAATTTGACTGATTCATGGCCATGTGTTTATCATAGCTTTATGAGTTCAACACGGTGCTTCAAAACTAATATTAGTCACTTGAAACTTTGTTCAGGTCTCCTTGATGGCGATCACATTTCAAGACATGGACTGAAAAGAACACCTTTTTTGACCTTACAAATTTCCTGGTTTTAATTTTGCATGCAATATCTATCTTCATAACTATTGACTTGAAACTCTATACCAAAATTAAAGATCAGTATTTAAGGCTCATAACTATGAAAAATATTTTTTGAAAGAAATTCAACAATTTTTAATTGTCAGATAATTAAGGCTTCTAGTGTACTTTCAAGGAATGTGGTGAAAAGTCTAGCGTTCCGTTCTTCTAACAGCTCTTGATTCACAATGTAGTCAGCATAGCTACTGAACAAAATTCTTTAGCAACATATGAAAAACAAAATGAACATTAAAATTGGTTCACATTTGTTTTTCTTGGCAGAGCTGATAAGATCTCTGAGAGCATATGATAATGTTATTTTCGAAAATTGATGAACATACAAAACAAAGAAAGCTCAAGTAGAAATCATTTATTTTGTTTGTTTTCTTTGTAGTTAATTTGGAAATCAATACAATAGGCAACCTTTTGCTATAGTCAAACAAAAGTACATCCCTTCTTTTACAATATTTTTTTTCATTCAATAAAAATGCTAAACAATAAATCTTATGGTATTTTGTAATTTAGTTTCAAAACTTTATATAATGCACACCTTTTGCAATTTCTAAAAAAAAGTTCATCCCTATGATTTCAATATTTATAACTACAAAAATAATAAAATAGTAAACAAAAAATATCTTTTTATTTTTGCTAATAGTAATTCGGTTGTTAAAGTTAAAATAAGGCACACCTTTTGTTATTTTGATACAAAAGTACATCCCTACGGTTTGAATATAGCAAAAGTAGAAAGAAATTAAAACAATTGAAAAACAAAATTTAATTATATTTCCTTATTTTTTGAAGTCAGTTTTAATATATATAAATAAAATTGCGTAACAGTAAATTATAAAAAGTCAATCGTATGTTATTTTGTAAATAAGTTTCAAACATTTATATGAAGCACATCTTTTGCTACTACAAAAGTTCATCCCTAAGGTTAAAATATTTAAACTTCAAAAATTAATTAATTGGTAAACAGAAAAGAAACGGTATTTTTTTCTTAAAATAATTCAGTTCTTTAAGTTTATGTAAGGCACACCTTTTGCTATTTCGATACAAAAGTACATCCCTACGGTTTAAATATAACAATATTAATAGAAATTAAAACAATGAAAAAACAAAATTTAACGATATGTTTATATTTCTCTAATATATTGAAGTCAGTTTCAAACTTTATATAAGGCACACCTTTTGCTTCAACTAAACAAAAGTACATCCCTATACCAAAACATATTCAATTTAACATAATTCATATTAATGTCACAGCTTCATATATAAAAAGCTTTGTTTTAAAGATTTGTTATCATGAAACAAATCTATATCTCTACAAAACTTACAATTTCAACAGAAAAATAAGTTGGCCGACAATAATAAATCTACATATATCTCAACAAGTCTTCAAGCATCTTCAGACTGATATTACAAATAACATATTTAATTCAGGGCACGCCTTTTGTTTTTTATCGAACAAAAGTTTATCCCTTAATTTCTGTACAACATTTATCTAAAATCAATGAGAAATCAATTTATACAACTTCAGTAACATAACATTGTTAAACACATGATGCAACAAGGCTCATCTTTTATACCTGTTGATTAAAAGTGCATCCTTGTAATTGATGAATTAGTAGTTTATATCATATGAATTAACAGAAAATGAATTATATACTAATAGATAGGATTAGCCTCTCAGTATAAAAAATGTTCAAAAAGCATCGATTTAAGCATAGCTTTAACCTAATGACATTATATAAATCATATATAAATCTATATACAGAGTTCAAGTCAACGTGATGCATGATTACAGAAGGTGTGCTTTTTACAAACATAGGTGTGTAAAAGAAAAAAATATCAAAATGAACAGTACCAACGAATTACAGACAAATCTAAAAACATTTAAAGTAAGGTTTTGGAATATGTTGAACTAACTTATATGTGCATAAAACGTGATAAAATGTATTTACATGCATGTCAATATTGATAAGAATAATTTGTTAACAATACTTAACAACAATATTTATCTACAGTAGTCATGTTGCATTAACAAATCTGTCTATCACACAATAGAAATATATGGTTACCTTCTCTTATACATAAATATTTAGCATACTTACTCAAACCCACTGCTATACTGAAGTCAATATAAAGTCGTATTGAAGTTATAAATAGTAAGAAAACTTGTCATATTGGCACATTGTCTATTGGGATTGACGGCTTTGTATTCAGTCAGAAAGAGAATAGCTGCATAAACATCATTTAAGTAATGAATAAGGTTCAACTCCTATTTACATTTTTATCTGTTTTTTTTTCTATTTTTAAAAAACATTTACGTTACCAGTTTTATTTTAAATACATTTGATATAATTAAATGACACAATGTGGTTTCTACCATTTGAGTATATATTTACAGTAAATATATATGTACAGTCACATGGAAGAACGCTGTGCCTGTATCCACGTGCTACTTGAAAATTATTATATATAGGATGATGTATTATGTACAAATCAAAAATAAAAGTTCTGTGCGTTCTGTTTATAACTATCTTCAAAATTTAACTTACACAATATTATCATATCATTATGAAGAAAACAACTGCAAAGCGGTGTATTACTATATAAATATTTGTTTAAACAAACAGATTGAAAATCAATTTCAAATCATATCAATATATGATGAAATTTATAGAATCGACTCTTGATGCAATCCTACATACACATTAATGATCACTATGTGTAAATAACATAAAAGATGATATGAAGGAGTCTCAATAATGAAATAAATCCTATGACATAATAATAAAATACCATGACATACAAAACAGCTACACCAAATAAATAATTGCAAAGCAAAACGCTCACATCTCTTACATATACGTATGATATGTACAATTGTACAATCAGTCATAAAAATATTACAAATAGGTACTGTCCTTCATAACAAATAAAGATACAATTCAATGCAAAACTGGTAAAATCAAACATTGTAGAACTATTTACATGATATATGGCATGTGAACATCGCTTAATATATAGTATTTAAAATAGTCAATAGAAAACTATTCTAAAGAAACAGCAAATCTTTCACTAACAAAATGTTTCCACAATTAAACAAACATAAAGATGTTCTATTTAGTAGTGTTCAACCTTGGCAAATTGTACACATAAAACAGGACTGTTTAAAAAACAACTAAAGTATGCGATTAATTGTGTCGGCTATCACTGACTCATTAGAGTTATCTGTAATATTCCGTGTGAGTTATCATTTATTTTCCGTGTAGGTTTTCTATGGTTACCAGTATGAGTTATCGGTAATAGATTTAACTTTACAAACTATGCAATTTTGATATTGGTTTAAAATTGTATAACTTATGCTAAAGTAGTTTGATTTGTTTTAAATAAATCATAGTGAATACATTTCATGCATTCAATGAATGTTAAACACAGACAATATAAATATGTCAAATTTATCAAGTGCCATCATGCGATTAAAAATCTATACATAAACATATGTGTAAAAAAAGATACTGCAAATAAATAGTAACCATTGTTTTTAAAACGGATGCTTTTTTAGATACTGCAAATAAATAGTAACCATTGTATTTAAAACAGATGCTTTTTTGTGTGTTTTAACTACTAAACTTTACAGTAAATAAATTATGATGAATTTCTTTCATAAATAAGACAATAATGAGCCTGAGAAGCGCATCATATGAATTGTTAATGATAGCAATATAACTAAAGTCACACACTAGAACAACATTATAACACTGGTCATATTGAAGCTATTTACACATTCAGTTGCAGAAAACGAAAAGGTTTTCTAAAGTATAAATAGTAAAATCCTATTACATTTAGAACAAAAACAAAAAATCCATTATTTGCAAAGTAAAACGCACACATCGTTTACAAATACGTGTGATATGCACAATCAATCAAAATAGTATATATAGTACAGTGTTTCTTTATTATAGCAAACATGGTGAAGTTACTAGTTGCTAATTCTCTTACAAATATTTATAAATATTATAATAGATGTACTCGTACTCATTTTATTTTAACTTTAAATATGCTCTTTACAATTACGAGTAAACCATGTATGTAAAATGAAGCCAAACTATAAATGAAATAAATATAAATATAATTCACCTTGAAAGCTAAATTATCATATTCTCCCCAATATATACAAGTAACCTAATAATCTATTAAAGATTTTCAAAAACATGTCTGAATGTAAAAACATATTATGTAATAAAAGCTTAGCTTTATATATGTAAAGTTGCAAAATTATAAATATTCATGGGGCACTTATTTCCGTCGTTTCCGTGGCTCACGGATTAAGATACAACGAAATGGCTTTATTTCATCTCATGTACAATAAATTTATTCAAATAAGTGATTTCATAGAATTCTTTTATGGTGTTCAGAGTATTGGAAATGAATCGTTTTCCAAACTCGTAAAGGACTCACATTTGCATCAAATTGTAACAAACTCAGATGGATTTATAAAAATGACTTATATATGTATTATATATAGGGGTAGTCTATATGTCAAAATGTAAGTAAGTATTCCGTTCTTGAATCAACACATTCAAAAATAGAATATACAAAAGTAACAAAATGTTTTCAAAACATAGTAAAAACATTATTGCAAAGTCATCAATAAAGCTATTTATACATTGCAGCAACAGTAAATATATACATAGAATTTGATGTACATTTATTGAATTATATAAGCATATATTTTATAACAAAAACTAAGTTGTGTTAAGCAAATATTGTTATGAAGTTAAGGACATAAAAATGTATCATTAAACTCTACGTACATGTTGTATTACATGTTTACATCAAACGTTTACAACCCATCAATATAACTCAATCTGAATATGAAAGAAGTGAGTGTAAATGAAAAAACAATTCATATGAACATTAAGGGAGTAACTTTCTTTTTTTTTTTTTTTTTTTTTTTTTAATGTTGATACATATCACATTGTAAAAAGCTTGTAATTGACATATCACTGGTGCCAATTAATATTGATCAAAGTCATTACTCTTAATCAGTTCAATCATATGCAAAACTAACATCGTATTAGTAATCCTCATATCTACTAAATACGATATATCAATGCTACAATTTAAATGTACTCCTCCACCATTTCCAGTATTTTCCGTGCTACTTCAATAGAAAACTCGGCATCGTCCATGCTGTAAATGTCTGAAGGTATTCTGGGACGCGAGAGCGCGTCCGGATATCTCAACCGGCCATGTGCTCCGAGTCGTGTCTCTAATAATGAAGCCTGTTTATAAAGGAAATATAAGAAATAATTATGTTAATGCCGTTGATTTAACCGCATATTACAATGCTACATACGTACTGTATCTTAATGATGTAAAATGTATAATACAGATGATTGAAAAAAACTGTCCATGCTTCGGTTTGTTTATACCAAGAGATATGTTACTGTGCACAGTAACGACTGTGCACGTTTTAAATTCGGGAATTGATAACCGTTATATTGTAGAGACAATTATTGACCATTGTCAAAGCCAGTACAGTGATATATGGAGCAGAAAAACGTGCGAAAGAGAAACTTCAGTAACTGTAAACAAGAGTGCTTATTTGTAACAAATAGTGAACTCTGTGTTTACATTGAATTCCAATAATTCGTGATGACTTAATGCTCAAATTTTCAATTTCTAATCTCTTTATGGACATGGATTTTTGCACTAAAAATGAATAAGATTAACAAGAGTACTCTACATTCTTATCTGCTTTATACATAAATAGCCAAATTATATGTGACAATGGTTATATATGTCTCTTATAAGTCTTAATTGATTGGTCGTTCATGGATTTTAAATGTTAAGAATTGTATGTACTGTATTTGTAAACGTAAGAAAGAGACTAAAAAACGAATAAACTAAAGTATGGATATGAATATTTTACATGTGTGTCAGATTTTATATAAAAGTCCCTATATGTATGTAGAAGTTTCACGGTTTAAAAAAATTGTGCAAGGAATACTAAGATCCCTTCCATTGTATGTAAACCAACTGTATCATCTTCCGGATATGGTGACGTCATTCCGTTATTTTGATACAGCACAATAAAAGTGTATACAATAATTGATGTTTACTGTAGTTTACTGGATTTTGTCTACAGAAATGATGAATTGTCTTTATAAATCAGCTTAAAAGCAATTTGACTTCTCTACTTTGGGGATAAAATTCCTCGTAAATAAAATAAAATCACATGTAAATAATCACAAAGTGCTATTGAAATCGGACTCAGCTGCGGGGTCAAATTATTTTACACATTTTATGTCATTTACAGGTACTGCAGGTATTATTAATTAAGGTAAATTAGGCCACTGAAAAGAACTAGTTAAATAAAAACCTTTCGAACATTGCCAATAAAATGTCAAAACCATGCTAGATTGTTTTTATGTTGACCCTTTCAATATCTGTAATGATCATGTATTATTTGAGTGATTACATATGAGCATTCTGTATGAACTTCTGCGGTAGCTCTGATTTGATTTTGCCAAATCTGTATCAAATTCTGTGATGTTATTTTATGAATAGTGTTACAGTTCCAATTTTTTTCTTAGGTCTAAGTAGGAGATAGTAAGTCATAATCAGGATTTTCTGTATCATCATTAGACTTTTGTTTATTTAAAAAACGTGTCACCTTGCGGCGAAATAAACAAACTGAAATTGTGAGTTCGTTCTCACAACACACATGTTTCTGAGCACATGCATGGCACATTACTTTTCCTTCCCAAATGTTATATTTTTTGTAAGTTAAATATTCATGAAAGGAAAAGAGACAAAATAATGCATGTTGGAGACACGTAAACTTGAATACACATCCTTTTTGTTTTTTTGTTTTGTATTGTTTTCTTTTAGGCAAATAATATTAGCAGCGTTGTTCAAAACAAATATTCTTATCACATTCAAAGCTATAAACACTGATTACTCGTATGCTAATAGTAAAAGTGAAATAATTTTACACGTTTTTCTTTCATCACGTCCTGTTTAATCAATGAGTTAACTAAATCACGACACAATATCCAAGAGATCATACAGTTGGTTTCCATACAGTGCCTTCGTACGTGTAGAAAATACAGTTCGGGCAAAATCTTTACATTCAATCTCCTCTAGTGACATTGTACTTACATATAAAGACCAGAATTATGCAGACCATACTTAGTCTCGTAATCAGATATGAGGTAAATGTAATCGTGTTAAAGTAATGCACCTATCAATATTTTGCCCGCCCGGGGGGGGGGCGGCGGGCTGACCCAGGGGAATTTGACATCTTAAAATGTTTGAAGTCTAAATCCCCACCCTAGAGACAACCAATTTTGTCTAAATCCCCACCCTTGAGCCTGCTTGGTGCATCAAATGCCCCGGGGGTAGGGGAGAGGGTAAATATGTAAGAGATCAATCAATAAATAAAACTGTTATCAGAAAAACAATGAAAAATATAAGTACAAAGGCTTATCATTAGGAAAATAATGAATCCAGATTAATGGGCATCTGAAGTAAGGTAGGTATAATCACTCCCAATGAGTATATATGTATCAATTTTAGTTTAATAACTTTGATAGTATCCAAATAATTAGACTTAGAAGAAACTTATAAAATGGGTATTTTCAAGTAATAAAGGGCATATGATTCTGAAAATAATGCATCCAGGTTACAGGCTTAGTATGGTAGTGGTAGTCCCACTAAATACCGTACCTAGTTTCAACTGAATATCTTTCATAGAATAGAATGTATGACTTAAAAAACTTAAACCAATGCGGGGACGGACACACAATCGATCGTATAAGCTCTTTAATATTTTACGTTATAGTTTAGCTACAAAATAAACCTACTACTCCACATGACCCGGTTTCTGTGGAGATGGTAAGCATGCTGAACAAGCTTAATTATAATTGAACCATATCTGTGGCCTCTTTGAGTGTTAAAACACTAAAAGTTGAGGACACCAGATTTGCAAAGACAGACATTCACCGATCATGATCACAATAGCTTCGTGCTCACAGCTCAGATGAGCTAAACACTTACAACACTTTACCTTCTTATTTTATTTTAACATTTAACACAAAAAGTCATTAAAAAGGACATTCTTCCTCCTCCTGCGGCCAAACCTGGACTCTTCCACATTTCTACCTGAAATAGAGGGCATTTTAATAATCTTTAAGGTTTCAAATTTATTAAGTTTCATTTAAATTGGACAAAAATGTTCTAAGATTTGACCTAGTGACTTAATTTTTGACCCCTCATGACCTAATTTTGAACATGTTCTAGATTTCATAGAGATGAGCCTTTACAATAAGTTTCATGAAGAATGGGCCAAAAATGTGGCCTCTAATGTGTTTGCATTCTTTTCTAAGACTTGACCTAGTGACATAGTTTTTGACCCCACATGACCCAGCCTTGAACTTTGCCGAGATTTCAGCCAAATAGTATGACCAAGTTTCATGGATAAACGGCAATTATAGCTCACCATGAAAACAAAGCTACAAAAAGAACTCACATAATTTTCTTAAGCTGGGTTGCATGGTATACTCACAATCTGGTGCAATCTCCTCAAGAGCCTGGATAGGAGCAGGAGCCTGGATGGGAGCTTGAGTCGGGATATATAGGAGCTTGAACTTTGATAGGAGCTTGAGCCTGGATAAGAACTTGAGCCTGGATTGTTTAAAAATGAATGGTTTAGTAGCACATCTTAACAAAGATTTCCAACATATATTTTTGATAGATAAAACAATAGGTTGTTTTTCATTCTATTGGAACAAAAATGGTACTGAATTTTGTTTTTTCGTTTTTGTTGAAAACACATTATTTTTTAAAAATTCCGCTAGTACTAAGTCTATCAAACTTATCTTGCAATTATGGTGGGGAATCACGTACGTGATATGGTAGTTCTGGCTTCCAAAACTTTATAAGCCGCTCTTTAACATTTTTGTTTTTTATCTGATGCGGCATTAAACACGTCATGTCATAGTATATAAACGGGTACGCTGAAGACCTTAAGCTAGTGATATGGAGACAACATGACATGGTATTGCAGCAATTAATAATCTTTCAGATTCAGGTGTCCATGTGAGAATTTTTTGTTTGGCAGAAAATATTTTGGAGTATGCGTAACTGACAGGACTTGCAGTAGCCCCCAGTGACATTATAAACAATATTGTGCTTTTTCAGGAGAATCCACCAATTCAAAATTTAAAGGAACATAATGCTTTTGTGAGTAAAATTTCAATTACTGAATAAACATATCATACTCATCCTCTTATTGAAGAAAATGGCTCATTTCCGCATTACTATTCTTCAGAAATTATTTTTTCATCCAAACATACCTCCAATTATTACATTTGCACTACATAAGCGCAATATATATTAGCGTATTTCGAAGATTTTCTTTCATGTCTTCAAGAAATCAAATGCAAATTTTTACATCAGAATTCTACTTGATGTCATTGGAGTGGGTAGTTTTTGATTTCAAATAAAGTTTACAAATGCATAATGGGACTTTAAGATACCATGTTACGTCAAAGGTCACCATATCAATGATTCCCCTCCTTATCAATGATAAAATACACATATTTAGACCACAGACGTGCAATACCCCTTATGTTTTGTATGGCTTTCAAAAAAAGATTTTTTTGGCCTCAGACTCATTTAATGTTGAGGCAATCATTTATGAAATTCAACTCATAATGTCATTGTGCCTGAATACCTTTTCAAAGACAGTGTCTCGGACGCCTTTGCCTTGCCCCTTTTTCTATTGGCAGCAACACTCGTCAAATGGTCCAACCAAATGTTCACCTGTTTAAATATAAATCAACATTTTAATACATTCATATTTATCAGATTAGAACATAGCCTTAACAATAGTTTCTGCAGATTCAATTTACTTTTTATTAGAGCAAGTCACGACCGTAAAGCAATTCAAGACCAATGAACTATGAAGATGAAACAGATAGCCAAGATTCAAAGCCTCGTTATGACAAGCAGTTAAAACAGTAAATGATAAAAAAACAATGATGGTAATACATCTGAAAAAAAGATATTATTTTATCTAGATCTGTTTTGACATATTTAAAATGCATTTTCTTACTTTATTAAAAATCATATTTTAACAAGGCTCACGGGAACTACTGACTTGGAGTCCCGTGACTTCAGCCTTTGGATTGGGACTCCCGTGCACGGATGTGCAGGGTGATCTGGATCTGCACTGGTCGCATAGGTGTTAAAATAATTAAAAAATGAATAATTAATAACATAATTCTGTGTGTATGTATTCAACATCCGTTTTGTGTCACTTGATCAGTTCATTCATACTGCAGTTAAAGGGATTATCTCAATCGATACAATATTTTCTTATGTAATCGTTTATATTCTACAGGCAAAGTGAACGTTCTTTTGTGGATTTAGTATTATTAATACGAGATATGTGTCAGTTTCAAGTGATGTCCAACGCCTTACAGACTCGCAAAATAAATGGATCTATTCGCGAAAACAGATGACAAACATGAATACCGCAGGCTCCACAAAGTGTCTGGGTATAGGTGAAAATAAATGAAGAATGCAATCCCTGTATACCTTTGCATATAAATCCAAATTCTGGGGCAACTTTCTCGCCTTATCCCACTATTTTCTCTACCGTAGAAAAATTTGGAAAGTCTGCAACTTCAAAAACACGAATAAAAATATCGCCGTGGTCTTTAGACGTTTCGCGGTTACTCCATTTTTATTTTGTGGCGTCGAAATTCCCGAGTCCCGGGATGTAAAAACCGGCCAAAGTCTATTACCCGGGACCCGGATTCCATAAGTTTGTCAAATTCCCGCCTGTCAGGAATGGTCTTCTGTCTTAAGCCCCGTGTATGCAAGCCGCCCCCCCCCCCCCCGGTAGGGCAACATATTGACAGGTGCATAATTGATTGTAATCAATTACAATTGGTGTGAGTAATCAATAGACATTGCTGACATGCTCGTAATGGTTTATCGCAATGCATTGGACATTAGTTAATAATATCCAGATAAAACGATACATAAACCAAACCTTTAATAGCTGCTATGAAATAACGTCACCATCTCAAAGTAGGGCCATTTTTGAACCCAGTAATATAATGTGCAAAAATCTTGGTAGAGGAACACTATACAATATTTCATGCCATATATCTTAGCTCTAGCCCTTAAAGTTTGAAAATATTCTACAGTAAAAACCCTCAATTAAAACCACCATTGGAACTGGACCAAAGTGGTCTTAATTGCGGGAGGTCTTAATTGTTGATATTCTTATCATTGCTTACATACATTATGACCATGGTGTATTTTTGTCATTTTGTTTGAGCAATAAAACAATATGTTTATTAACATACATAATACAATATAAGTTATAATATTTATTTATAACATTTTTATGAAGAAATTTAATATTAAATTCTCGTTGGTCTGGTGTCAATATTGATTATTTTATAATATACATCACCTATCATATGAGAAATTAATTCTTCACAAAATATAAAAGTGCTGAAAGCATCATTGAACCACAGTAACTCTAAAATTTATTTCCACACCTTATTTTATACAATAACAATTGATTAACAGTTATTGACACCTTGTAAAATCAAGTGTCATGCCTAAGAGCATTCAAGCAGATAATAACAACAAATCTGTAATCTTGGTAGGTGTTGACTTTTTAAATTTTTCCTATATACATGTTAAGAAAACACATAAAGCTCGGGCGGGGTCATTATTACTCAGGGCTATAATTTAAACGATCTTGGTAAAGGGTCACAAGATAATGGCTTGTGAAAACTATCTATATTCTAGGCCTTGTGGTTTTCTGGTAACTGTAAACGAAAACATTCTAAAGATACTGAAAGGACAATCTATTAATCCGCAAAATTTATCTTTGCCCTACAGATTGATAGGTGTTATTTGTAGAATATTAAGACACTAGATAAATGTATTCTCTTGTATCTGATCGGACAAAATTTGTGTGGTATGTATCAAATTAATATTGGCCAATATTCACCTAGAATATGATGGCAGAGTTAAAACATGTTTCATTTAACAATTGATCGGGCAAGAATTTGCAGTCAAGTTAACAGTGATATCCTTTTACCTACTGTTCTAAAAATTATTTTTGTCATCAAAAAGTCATGATTACCCATCTTACTTAATCTGGGAACTGTGTGCCAAACCGTGCTTTGTACGTTAATTGGAATTACCGTTAGAAGTCAGACAAGGTCTGGACAACGGAGCAACAATTATGTGAAATTCGGCATACGTTTAACCTCTCGGGAAATACTTAATTAAGTAACAAAATGATATGTATTTAAAACAATTTTAATGGACCTTTCCGGTTTTTCGTAGAGGAACATTTAGCCACACCTTTTCCATTCATTGCTAGGTCAACTGCTCACAAACAGTATCACAAACATAACCATGTGTTCTTTTGTGCAAACCAGGTCAACCAGTGACTATATCTTATCTCAGTGTAGCAATTGGATAACAAATTAGCCCTGTCAACACTGGAAAGGTCCATCATCAGATAACTATCAGATAACGGTTGATGTTCTTGGAACATACAACAATTTGTAAACTTACAAAAGGAATATGAAGAGGTAATGAAGCTTACTAAGGACTAGTTCAGTACAAAGCATTAATGATACAAAGAAATTTACCTGTTCCATCATATTAGATGTTATTGCTAATCTCGGAAGGAAAACCCCTTCAGGAACATTATTGGCATCTCTAGAATAATGCGCAGCTTTCAGAGCTTTCTCACAAACCTTAATTTAGAAGTTGAAACGTAGATACAACATTATTTTACAAACAACGTACGTTTTACTGGATTATACAGTATCAAATTAAAACTTCAATATAACAAACTGCTTTCATTTCCATTTCATTTGTTTAAGAAGGAAAATCTCTTTTCTTACTGTATTATGCGGAATATCATTATTCAGTTATTCTTTAATATCATTACTAGACTTACATATTTTGTTAGTTACATAACAGGTACTCACCTGATGACAAATATAACAAACCCAGTTATAAGAACTTGCGCCTGATGCAACAGGGAACATTTCTAAAGCGGCTTGAAAGTCATGTTTAGCCTGCCGTAACCACCGCTGTGCTTCTCCGTGGTCCTGTCGTTCTACAGTTGCTGAATTTGAATGGGTAAAATCCCCCGTCCTTTCCGACCTACTGTATGCTTCGAAATTATCATAATATGCTCTTGCATAGGTTCGAGCTCTCTTGAAAACGTTTTCATAAAATGCAGACGACGACTGTGAGAACTGTGATTTTCCTCGTCGCATTTCATCGTCTACATCATCCCCAAGTGGCTCGCCATTTTCAAGACGGCTTAGAATAACTTGGATATATTGAAATACTTTTGTACAATACTCTTCGTTGCCGCGATTTTTATCTGGATGCCATTCAAGGAGTATTCTTCTAACAATACGCTTTCGATCTTTTTCTGGCAGCTTCCATGCTTTTATCAACTTGTTTCTTATCTTTCTGCATTGCTCGTCGATTGGTATTTGTTGTTTTTGTTTCTTTCCTGTGTAAACTTCTATTTCATTCCCTGTGTCCCTGCGAACAAATCTATAAAGACGATAGATAGGAACTTTCTCAGTTTGAATATCGGACTTTCCCGTTTCTACAATATATATTCGCTCAAAGTTATCAGCTTCATGACCTTCATCGACATCTTTGACTTCCTCTCTTAATATTTTAACATAAATATACACTGGATTTTGTAAACCGTCGTCATCGTCTTCTAGTTCCATTGCAACGTGCTCAAACTCAAAATCTTGAAACGGAATGATTCCTTGCTCCAAGAAGGGGATGAATTGTTCCTCCACGTATGTCCCTGGTTTCGGAAAGTAATCTGGTAAAGTTGCTTGAGGACTTCCATATTGCTGTATGTGAAGGTCATCAAGAATACTATGTAATTTATATGGATATTCAAAGGATTGAATCAGCAATGTTAAATGAATAATTGAGTCTACATTTAGACAAGTTGTACATATTTTAAGCAAACTTATTATTCCATGTAAAATCTTTGGTATATCAACATTTTCTGATTTACTTTTATCGTTGAAAAAGAAAGTACACGGTCCAGATTGATTTCCGTTTTCTTTTTGAATATGGTGTTCTATTAACCTCTCAGATCCCTCAACAATTTTCCCTTTGTATTTCAAAACCGTTTTCAAAGCAGGATATTCAACAACAGTGACATTGCGTAAATTAGCAGCAATTTCAACTTCTGTTTTTTCGGGATCAAACTGATTTTGGGACGGTTTTCTTGCACTCTGGTGTTTTATTAATCGACACAATGCTGTTACCAATTCATTTGAATGCAAAAAACGCTCGAGTTTACGTGCTTTCTTGCTGTTTGTGATTCTTTGATGCAAAGAGTCTTCCATGCAAACTTCTTCTGTAACAACATCTGCCAATAGTACTGGTCTTAAATGATTGGGCCATTTAGTGCAAGCCTCTTCTAGTGACGGGCTTTGTATGTCTAAAAACGATAATTCGACACATAAGTCTAAATTAATTTTTCCCTTCAAGCGATGTTCGTACGTTTTCTTATTGGAAATAATTACTTGTTTTGAATCTTTAAGATACAGCTGTTGTGTAGGAATAAAAACGGATGATACCTCTTCTACGCTTGTATCTTCATCAAGTGGTAACTGTATCAGTCCCTTGAATGCACTCTTAACAATTGCCCTTTCCGGAACACTCATTTCGTTCTCTTTACATTGATGTTTTATTTTCTGAAGAATTGAAGCGTAGTGACAAAACATTACGGAACGCTTACAACCTATTTGCTGAAAAAGCTCATAAAATTGCCCATAGAACGAAGGTGACTTATATAAGAACGGTTTAATCTCTAATGAAGACGACAGTTCAATCACAATTTCGTTAACGCAAACAATGTCTTTTTCTTCTGGGAGATGTACGAATGGTTTTCCTTGCAGTGTAGAAACAAGGTGATCGTTTAATTCCTGGCTACTAAACCAGTCATAAATGCATGTCATTTTCTGTTTAACAAAACGGTCAGAAATATTGCCGTTCTTTAGCTTACTTTTAAAGCTTGGGATAATGTTTTGACAGTGCAAAAGAACCTTTTCTACAGGAGGTTTTTCTAGCACACCAAGCTGTTTTCTTATCTTACAATCAAGAGCATTGAAAAGATCCTTCGGACATAAATTGGAACTTGACCAACAAAGATCGGAATTGTTAGAAGAGATGGAGTCAAAGAAACAGATCGTTTTCCTCACATCACTGAACTGCGGATACACTTCATTAACGTGTCTTCTACAACAAACGGATATATAAACTTAACAGTTCGTAACTGAGCTAATGTTGCTGCATTCCAGTCATGTCCATTTCTTTCAACAAAACGAGCCAACAAAACTTCTGATTTCTTGCGAGTACTGTCTAAATAGCCATTTAAACTTAGTGACTCAACTTGTTTCGCAAATATTATCATCATTTCATTTGTGACATCCGTTTTTAGGCCAAGTTTCGTCAAAAAGGCTGTCCATTCAATAGATGACATATCTCTTGGAAGGCATTCGTTAGAATTCACCAAATATTCAAAGGTTCCGTTTGATGGATCATACAACTGGTTTGCCATCCTCATGTTACCGTCAACGCGTATAAAAGCAATGCTTTTTAGTTCTTTTATTATCTTAGACTGATTGTGCGTCATAGTGAACTGTTGTCCAAGTTTATCTCTAAGGTATTCAATATGTTTCATCCAATATTCTGATGGCATCGCTGTTAGCTGTGGTAAAATCTTTTGGCCATATACAAAATCTTCATCTGCCTTCTCTAATCCAAGGAAATCATACAAAGCAGAAAGGGGTTCTTTTTCTTGCAAAAGAATGATATTACAAGCATTTGCCCACTCTTGTATTCCACTAAAGGGCATACCTTTTGGCAGTACAAGGACATTTTTTGTTGTTGCTAGAGAAATCAATGTACCCTGCATTGTTAGATAAAATGGCAGCTTACAAAGTAAGGTAACAACTTCATGTTCAGAAGAGCATTTTATAAGTACACTGAGTTCCCTACCGAAATAGGACAGCAATTCAACTCCATCCTCGTTTGTCAAATTACTGGAAGCTTCCAGCTCAGATCTATGATGTGAAAGGCAACAAAGTAAATCATATGGCCGTTTCAGAGATGCTACTATATTTTCCATGGATTTTTTAATATCTTCCTTCGCATGACAATCATAAAATGCATTTGGATATAAGGTGGGAATGCGAAACTTTGCAAGGCAGCCGCCAGTTGTATTTCTCTTGTCATTATATGATAAATGAAGTATATTACAAATATCCTTCATTGGTATTAGCATATGTTTATTGTCAGTACCTATGCAAGGCAAAAAGGACCATCTATCAAGTAGTTTAATATTTTCTTGGAGTAAATCTGAATCGATGCTCCGCTTTTGGTAATCAGTGACTGAGGCATTTTGTAGCAACGTCTTGTCATCAATATTTGACGAGATGGAACATTCACCAAGGAAGTTATAAAACAAAGTGATCCACTCCATAGAAATTGAAGGACTAGTTTCATTTTCACTTTGTTCTTTGAATGCTATAGATAATCCGCTAGCATAAATATCTACGTCCATGCTGCTTGGAAGTAATCGTACAAAATCTTCAAATTTAAATCGTTTGAATATTGGTAAATCTAAATACTGTGAGCTTTGCAATAAGTTCAATAATTCCTCATGTATAAACATATGTGCACAATCCGGAAGTAGTTGTTTGTACGAAGAAATAAACACTGGGGAGTTTTCTGAATAAACTCGAAGAACTCCATCTGCTGTCAACTCAATTGGCAAACCTATCATTTTCTTACAAAATTCTTTGTCTTGCATTATGAAGTCCGTAAAAATATAAAGGTTTCGTGGTGTGATGAATTTTGTTTCAGAAATAATGCAACCTATAGGCCCAATCTCACAACTTTGAAATGCTTGGTCGTCAAATGATTTCAGAAATGAAATTACGAAAGGTGGACAGGAAGTTGGTATATTGTCAATGCCAGCTTTACACATTGCCAGTCTCACTTTATCCGGGGTTTCTACTAATTTCAGACCAAAAGCTTTAAGAAGTTTAACTATCAAACGAACGTCATTATATTTGTATACCATGCTTTTGTATACCATGCTTGCTAGTACAGTGTTAAATACTCCATAGTATCCGTCTTTGTTTGGTGCCTTTATTGGAACCCAAAGTACACTAAATCGCTCGTTTACAAATGTGCTTTGAGTGCTTATTTGTAAGTCTGACTTATTATCCAGTACGCATGGAAACAGTGCTGCGTGTATATCATGTACATGAATGTAGAATTGCTTTGAAACGTTTGTCCAAGTGTCCGATGTGCATTCTCCGGTAGGAAAGATGTTATGATATTCAAGAAGAGTCGTGTTTAACGCATGCCAGTTCTTAGCATTTTTAAGAAAAGGTGTTATCAAATCTGAAATATAGCACATACCCGATATCCATGCAGGAATTATAACACCGTTGAGTACGCAAGTATTCCATTTCATTCTATATCCGTCTTTCCAAAGATCCCTTCTAGCTTCGTGGTCAAGTGCGAAGTGTCCATTTATGTGAACTGGCAAACCAGTAGAAACAGGTAATGGTAGAAAACAGAATGCCCTTCCTTGAAATGCCACAGCGACCTCCTGCTCTCTCTTTTGTTTTTCACAAGTATCAAGGTATTGAGTCACATTTTTCAGATCATCTGACCGAATATATGATAATACGGTGTCATTCAAATGGATTGCTACACCTCCAGCTGGCAAAAGTCCAAGGTCGCCACTTCTGAATGACTCTTTTATTTCCTCAAAATAGTCCATGTCACCATGCATTCCAAACCTTTGAACTATTACCCAATGTTTTGCTTTATTCCGTGAGTCCTTAACGTTCATTTCATAAATGACTTCTTTCGGATCTCTCCCTAAATTGTGTTCCATGTTGCTTCTATTTGATTTATCTATATTAGAAACCTCTCTTTGAAAAGTCCATCGGTCTTTTTCCGATTTTTCTGACAGTTGAACTTCCACTGAATATTCTTCTATCATTTCATTAGTTGAAATATTTGATATTTTTATTCGATTGATATTTTTCAAGAATAAAACAGATTCAAACATTTCTAATTCAAATGATTTAAGAATGTCATCCATTTTAGAAACAGATATGATTTCGTCACTTATTTCGGATGACAATGATCGAAGTGGCAGACGAAAAACAGTACCATTGCCATCATTGATTAATTCACTGACTAGATATCCAAGCAAATGGTCAGAGAAATTTGGTTCAAGGTCAGATAATTTACACATCATTCCAGGTTCTAATGAAGTCGCTTGAGGAACATGCCTGCATAGTGGATCGAAAACAATCATCAACCCCTGGTCTTCGTCAAACGGTCCCTTTGTTATAAACGACGGTGTATCTGTTAAATGGTAAACTGCGTTGAAACCTACTCCATACTGTCCCGTTTTTGTAGGATCGTCATTTTTGCTTCCTTGTCCAAGATTATGAATTCCTTCAATGTCGTTTTTTGTGAAGTAACTGTTATTATAAACACATAATGATGGCCCTTGTAAAATCTCACAGGAGCTTTGAAAAAGCTTTTCTGTTGAATGTTGTCTATAATCTTTAATAAAATGAATTTCTGTTGCACCAGCATCATCTGCGTTTTGTAGTAGCTCTTTCATAATACTCGAGTCACATGGATATGCTTTAAGTAGGCCCTTTATTCTTGTAACAAGTTCTTCTCTTTGACCGAATGATATTCCAATTTTTATATCTTGATAGCAACGAAGTTGCTTCACTTTAGCTCCAAGTTTTTTAGCAACAGCTGGAAGTACCGACGGATGAAGGATTTTCATGGATGAAGTCGATGTATAGTTTTCATTCTCAATAACAAGCTGGTTAGTTGGCCAGAGAGTACAATTTGTATCTGGTGCAAGGATTTTGTTGTGGAATTTCGTTAAATCATCATAACACATTTCAAAATGTTGCATAGATTCGTCTAAATTGATAAGTAAGCTATTAAATGTTTCTACATTTACTACCTGCTCACCAACCTGACTCATTGATGTCATTACATTAACAATACGATCAATGCTAAAATACTGCTGAACACCAAGATAACTGTACACGAAACTTTTATTAATTTTGTCTATTTCGGGAAGGCGATACAAATGGGGTTTTACCTCATCTTTGATATTAAAAGCAACATTATTGGCTTTAAGAAGATTTTTTCCTATCAAAACAAATCTACAATTTTTTATCACATCTACTGCTTGTTTTGATACATTCTCTGTTTCAGGTTCTTTGATTTTCATCTCAAAATGTCTAAATATTTTGTCATGTATTCTTGCGACATCTTCAAATTGTTCTTCCGCATATACATATTCTTCTGAAATAGCATGCATCTGATTTGAAAGAATACTTAATGGCATTGTTTTGGGGCATTTGATACCAAACAATTGTAGAAGCTTTTCATTGTTTTTTCGGGTTTCCTTTAATGAAAATATATAACCTTCATCTAATATAGCACATACTATACCGGCTAAGTCAGCAGAACTTTGTCTAAATAAATATTTTGACTTTCCAAAAAGCACACTTTTACTGCTACCCGCATGCTTTTTGCAGCTTACGGTTGGACTAACAACCATAACATCAGCTGGTTCTGAATCTGCTTTCCATGAAAATGACCATCCAGTTGGTTTCGCCATTACAGGAAACATGAACAGGTCACTTATTGCGTCAATACATCTTTCATTTTTCTCAAACTCCTTTAAAACCTCTTCCTGTGCAAAATATCGCATCAAGTTTTCAAAACGATCTCTTGCACAGTTGCAGCATTTCTTTGCCAAAGTCAAAACAGTATGACATCTGCCGATGAGCAAAGAATCGGAAAGGAAAGCCGAATTCATTCCTAAATCTACAAGCTTTGCAAGACTATTTTCCTTACGAAATTCTTTAATTTTCACTGGAAATATTTCCTCATTGTCGCTAAAAAGAAGTGCTGAAAATGACGTTGGATGAATAAGATCACATGGTCTAGCTAGAGTGCTATTTGGCTCTGAAGGAATGCATTTAATAGTTCGCATTTTCTTTTTTACATTGGTACTTCGACATTTTAATGCAACATATATAACTTTGTTTCTTTCGCTTATGCGATTGACCCAGAAATCAGATGTAAGCGTTTCAAGAAAAGAAAGAAAGAATTCTTCATCAAACACCTGATTTGACTGAATATAATGTTCATGTTTTTTATTGCTTTGTTTAATATTTTCAAGAATATGCCTCGGCATTGCAATGAGAGATTTATTTCGCCTGGGAGGAAAATGAGACAAAACTTCGAAAGCCAATGCTCCAATATCACTTTCATGTAAATTTGGATCCAGAAACACTGTGTCTTCAAACGAAATCCACCTCTGATTGCTTTTAAATACTCGTACATTCTTTTTAATGATCGCCCTGTAAAATCCTTCTTTGAATGGCTGAACAATTGTAGCACATTTATCTGGCCACAAATCATAGTACTTATAATCCGCGTTCATGTTCAATTCCTCTTTAGCAAATGATTGAAGAAGGCGTAAAAACGCTATGACTAGTGCATCTTCCATCAAAGCAACATTCCAGGCGCTTCTTGAACTGCTTTTATCGTCTTCAGTAATCGAAGCAAGTTGTCGACGATCTGAGGTTACCGAAAAGCATCCATTTATATGTATCTGTAGTTTTGTTTTCAACGGCAGTGGTAAAAAACAAAATATATGTCCTTCATTGTAAAATCCACATGGAAGGGCATTTAATCCCTGTGAAGTAAAAACATTTGATTCGGAACATGGTACAGCAACTGCTGACAATGGTACAGCGCCTTCAGTAGACAACTGTTCATACATTTGTGAAGACTTGTCCATGCCAGTTGCCCATGACGTCATCCATTTTGATTCTATATTGTTGCAACTTATGTCGATTTCATTAAATAAATTTTGTGCATGATTTGTTGTATTTTGCTTAATAGATAACTTGTGTATTTCATTGAATTCCTGTTTACTTTTTAAGAGTTCTGGCATCCTTGCTAAGACATTGACATTTGTATGTGTAGAGAGTCCAACATCCCATTTAAAACTCGTTCTCTTTATACTGTAAATTAGTTTTTGATCAAGTGCAGATTTAGCGTTACCAGGAAGATGATGTAATTCTATTTCATGGACGTTTTGAGTAAAGAGGAGAAGGTTTCCCGCTGTTTTTAATAGCATATGTAGAAGTTTAATCATTTCATCGTGTGTGTATGACAATGATGATATGTGACTTTCTTTGGCCTGTTGCTCTGTTCGAAGAGGGAGTCTAAACAGCGATCCTTTATATTCTTTGAAATCATTTTGTTCAAGGTTGCATCCGAAAATACCAGAATAGGGCTTAAACTGGTCGATGTGCCTTGCCACAAGGGTCTTATTTGGAAGGCGATACTTTAGACCGGTACCTTTTCTCTGGAGCATGTTACCAAGATGTTTCTCGTGAGGATCAAAAAAGACTAATTCTGATCCAGACAAAAAGCTAGGTAAATCAGTCAAGTTATAAACAGAGCAAAAACCTAGACCAAATTTTCCTATCTTTTTTACGTCTGTCTGCTTTGTTGCTGCATTGAGTTTTGTTATGTTTTTCATGTCATCAGATGTAAACTGCGCATTGTTATAGATCCAAAGAGCTGGTCCTTGAAAATGCCTCATTCCTTTACTAAAAACTCTTTGTTTCATATCGGCGTTTTGTCTTTCGTCGTAAAGAAATTTCACAACTGAGGCCCCGGCATCATCAGCATTTTGAATCAGCTCTTTCGGAACAGAGAGGCCGTCGGTATATCCGTCACGAAGCAAGGCGTGTAATCGCGTTGTCAGCGGCTCTTGTTGGCCCCATTCCTCAATTCCTAATTCTTCAGCGTCCATTAATGCTTTTCTTGAAATAGATTTAACTCCAAGAGATTCAACGGTATTTGGTGAAATCAGTTCATGAACTAGATTAACATTCTCATCATTTTCAAAGTAAAAACTTGGATCGTCATCATATGTACATTCAGGAAGCGGGAGAAGATGTAAGCGGCTTGGATCACTGTCATATACCATCATCAGTATATCTGATTCTTTACAGGAACCTAAATACTGTTCGAAATTTGAACCTATCTTGCCTAATATTTTGCAAACAATGCTTCTGTCGCGTCGGACTGTCTCTTCATCCTGTATTACAATGTGAACTTCTTTAATTTGACCCAGAGTATCCAAGAGCACATCAATGTCCTGTCTGAGACGACAACCAAATGATGTGTATAACTGTTGCATTGTTTGAAATTCTGTCGGCACAAAGCAGAAATAGGGATATAAATCAAGATCGTTCGATTCATGAGCAACAATGACTTTACTGGCAGTGGCAAAGTCATACCCAGTCCAGACAATTTTTTCGTTTGTAAAAGAAATCTTGTTTTGCCACACTTCTCGATTGCGCGAGGACAAATGTTGATAAATTGATTTTATTAGTGGCAAAATCTCAAGTCGACTATGAACAGAGTAAGACTCACAAACAATTTTCAGTTGTGATAAAACATCTTGAATGGACGGAGCAGATTGCCATTTAAACAAGCTATTCATTTTAGACGAGGTACAAACAACAACTGGTTTTATTCCGCCAATAAGATGGCTATTACGTGATTCATTTGCCTCCAATGGAGTGCAGAGAATTTTGTGTTCAGGGTTCCACTTAACACACTCTGGATATGCTGGCACTCTCTTAACTTGCACAGGAATGCATGAGAGGTTTTCCAAACTATTTGCAAGAGTAAAACCATTTAGGCACTTTGCTTCAAGTAAAGTGTGTTGGGTCTGCAAAATATTCATCAAAACTGAGGCTTTTCTGAAGCTTTGTTCGCCACAAGTCTTTTCTCTTGACCAGGTATCGAGTGTTTTAGCTACCTTCAAAATAACATCTGCCGTTATATCCTTATAGCCTTTCAGACCTAAAAACCTTAGAATTCGAACTTTTTCGTCGCTCAATTTCTTCTTCGTCTCAGGTAAAAGAGCTTCCTCAAAAAGTAAATCTTGCAAATTTTGGTCTGACGGATCATATAAGTCGGACGCTTTAAATCTTTGTGTCCCAGCCCTAAGGAATTGAATTTTGGAAGCCAACTCTATAACATCATCATTTGTCTGAAATAAATGAAAGTTGCTGATAAAATAATCCATGAACTTTGGAATTTCAATTGTACTTGACGGTTTCTGAAAAAATGTCAGTTTTGCAACAACAAGATCTTCAAGTTCTAATTTTGATGCTCCCAAAGTTTCCAGCAAGCGTTCATATGAATGACTCGATTTTATGCACCGTTTAGTAAAACAGACATCATCTGGAAAGTGCAATTTTTCGTTTATATAGCAGTTAATTTCATCAACAGCAATATCAGTGCCTATGTCTGAGATTGAATTAACTGCTTTAAATATTTCAGCTTTCTTGAGAAACTGTACTCCTTCTTCAGTTAAGGCATGATGAAGTTTCGCAAAACAGGTAGTAAACACCGACTTGTCTTCCCATTGGCATCTTGAATTAAACAATTCAATGTGTTGATTTATGCATTCTCTACTTCCAATCTTTGTTAATAAAGACAAAATGCTTTTCTGGGAAGGCCAATAAAAATACGGTTTCGTTTTATCTCTTGGAATCCAGTCAGGTAAACTTTCTAATACTCTCACTCCCATATTTTCAAAACAGTTGCATAGTCCCTCTGGAAGTTTTTCGTTTTCAAAAGACTTAATTAAGACCATTTCTGAAAACGGTAAGAGATCGACGGATTCAGGTGCTATCCATGAACCTTTTGTCAACAAAGGAACGATATGGACATGTTTCAAATATGCTAAATAGTTCTTGTCAATGCAATACTTCCATGTCTTTTCCAGCCATTTGATTTGCAATTTAGAACGGTCTGTTATACAAGGGCTTGTTCCTAAGTTGTCCGTTACTGTTGATTCCAAAAAATGTCCAAATTCTACAGCCGTGAGTTTCTTAATTTGAAAAATACCTTTAAAATGAAAAAAAATATGCGTCATTGCAAATATTAAGAAAACACATAAAAGTAGAATACAAATTATATTAAAGGAAATTTCAAATATTTTGAGTCAGAACGAATGATTTAATATCTAGCACATCTTACTTACTGGTAAGCTAGTATTTGGCAATTTCATTTATCTGACCTGGCATTTGTACCAACAATTTACTATTCAATGAATCGAACTGTACTGGTCATTTAAGTGTATGTTACACGTCTCATAAACAGTCCTAAAATGTTTGAAAGGGCTTATATGACCATTAATGATTTGATTTATTAGAGATTCATCACAAATAGGAACCATTTCAACATTTACTGTATGAGACTCCAAATATTACATAGAAATGTTCTTTCTCAATAAACTATTTCTATCTTTGAAGATTCAAATTAATATTACTTACTTTTGGGGTTAATCACGGGAACTAAAAAAATCTAGCAGGAAATAACTCCAACCGCATTTTTTTTATAAATCAATGCTATCAAACTTTGTTATTTCAAGTTCAAGATACTACAAAATTATTCAGAAGAGATTTTTTATTCTAAAACATTGAACTTTTTCTCATGTGATATATTCATCTATGATGTTTCAATATGATATCTCTCATACTTTTTGAGTAACTCTTAGAATAAATGAAAATTACAAAGGATTCTAGTTGCATTTTTAAAAAAGATAAAACAAACATAAGGTTTATAGGCACTGGAATTTAGTTTTAATGCATGACTAGTTGTCTTCGTCTTAATAAGTTATACACGAGCAATGAAGGAAATCTTAAACCAGAAATGACAAAAGCAATACAGTTTATTCACATGGACAGCTATTTGACAAACAAAAACATAAGATCGGGGCCCCTATTTCGTTTTTATATAAATGTTTGCAAATATGATTTATTAAAAATTTGGGAAGGTTCTTTCCACGCTGAATGTTTACCCAAATCCGAACATCTATGCTGTTTGAGTTTGACAATTTGTTTTATTCTACGGGCATGAAAATTAAGTATGTAAGAGCAATAACTCCAAGATTTTACACAACAAGGGTTACAGTTATTTAATGCTGCACTTTCCTTAATAATGTTTCGAATATCTTTTGCCCCGTACAACAAGATGATTTCAGCATTCCACGCTAACAATTTTCTTGTACTGGAATATGAATACCTTAAAATGACTAGAGACAGTACAAGGCATGACAGACAAGGCAATATTTTGAGATAACTATATTGACACAAGTAAGAAACTCACCATTTGTACAGATTTCTTCAATATAGTGAGACAGCATAGACCCAGGTGATGTATATTTCTTAACAAATACTTTTTCCTGGCCCACTAGAATATCAACTTCTTCATCTGTTCCAATATAGATAACATCTGACTGTGATTTGAACGTCTTCCATCCACCATTCGCTAGTGGTAATAGTTCAAGGCCTTCGATCTTTTGATAATATCTTCCATCGGAGCAAAGATATAAAAGAACGTCCAATTTATCCGATTCCGACAGGTTTTTATATCCAGCATTGTGATGTAAAAGCTTTGCTAATGATTCCGGTGTCAGATCTTTTATACTCGCAAAGTGCTTTTGTAAATTGAGGAATACGTCCAAAGGCATATCTATGTGCATTTTGCCAGTCAGATAGAGGCAACGAATCACTGCTTTATGTACATGTTTATAATTCTCAGGCAGTTGATCAAATGATGCAAATGAAGCATCAGCAATGGTGACCCATGTTTTCTTGTGTTTTGAATAGAGGATTCGTAATTTCTTTATCTTTTTGTAAAGTTCAGATTCAAGAATTTTCCATCTGTTCTGAACTTTGTGTGACAGTGGTAAACATCTGTAAACGGCAGCAACAAGATCGTCCCTGTTTCCAGAACAAGTTGCCGTTTCTATGATTGACTGCACTAATCTACTGTATGCTTTCGGAAGTGCTTCTTTGATGAGACATTTGTTCCATAAGATATTTTTGTCATCTATCCTTTTACCTCTTTGTTCATCCGTTTCCCATTTCAAATGATGTCTATTTTGGCTTAATGCAAAAAAGCCATTGACATGCACCGGTAGTCCTGTCAGTTTTGAGCCTTCATGTGGTAACGGCAAGAAACAAAATACATGCCCTTCAAACTCATCATCGGGTTTACTTAAAGGTGAAGCTACGCCTACATATGGACTGTAACCCAGATCTTGATCCTGTATTAGCTTCTTAAAATCAGTGGAAGCGCTATTACCTATAAAGTAATTGACTATTTGCCATCTGGCACTCTCACAAATCCCATCTACAGTTGTCTTAATTGTCATTTGAAGGTCGACAGTAACGTCTTCACCTTTATAATCGCATGCCAATAGTTTTATTTTTTCCTTGAACTTAGATCTACTTTGCTTTAATTTACCAGTGTTGTCGTCAATTTCAGCTTTTGCCAATTCCTTAAACACTTCATCTAACCCAATTGTAGAGACAGAAATACATTCTAAATTCTTCAAAAATAGTAGTATACTTGATGCTTCTTTTTCAAATACGTCAAGTAAGTCTAGTACTTTTGCTTCATAATATAATGTTTCAGAAATTTCGGACTTTTTCTCTCTGAGAGGAAACCAAAATATTGTACCATTGAAATAAGCATTTTGTGCACAATCTCTATTGAAACCAAACATGCCATTGAAAGCAGTCCAAAATGATCCAGCATGTAACCCTTTGTCACCTAGTTTATCTATGTCTGCAATATTTATCATAGCATTTACCTTATCGGCAGGCTGCTGTGGATCTATCAGGAGCATTTTACTTCCACTGATAACACACGGGTAATCTGTTAAAAATGTACAGGACGGTAAAAGAATCGGTTTAAAGAGAATGAGTGTAAGATTAAAAGAGCTCATTATAATGTATACATTAACAATGTTATATGTTAAATAATCAGAATCATGCAAAACAAAGATAAATTTTGGACTTTTACATCATTTTTCAATTAACATTTATGCAAAAATGCATTTAGATTCAAAAGTTGAAATCAGATATGAAATTGTATTTTACCAGTGATATGAAAAACAGACTTGAAGCCAAGGCCAAATCTTCCAACTGTTAGAGGATCATCCTCTTTAACACTGCTGTAGATCATACGTATACCATCCCAATCTTTATCCTTAAATACTGCGTCATTGTAGATACAGAGTGATGGACCCTTTTTAAGTATGTAAAGAGTATATTATAAACAAGATATACAAGGTGTAAACGCTTGTCTGTTCTGATTAAAAAGGGCCATATTGCTTTCAGAATCATGCTCCTTTCATTTTCCTGATTAACCCTTACTCTGCTGTAACCGAAAGTAATTAGAATGTATTACCAGTATAGAGCCAGGCCAGCCTGTAGATACGTACGTTTCTGTTTGTAATCAAATAACCACCACGATAAATTGCAAGGTCATTTCTCATTATACCGTTAAGTATTGTCAAATACTAATGCCAAAAGTGTTGTATTTTCCCCGGTATCAATATGCATTGCTCAACTACCAACACAAACACAATAAAACGAAATGTCTGATTCCAAGAATTATGCTGATCCAATTAGTTAGAATATGGTACGTAAAGGATAACAAAAAAATCATTGGACTACCGCACAAAGAAATAAGATTAATATGGCCCTATTTTCTTCTGTATTAATTTGAATTTCGAACATGTCATCATACCACAATGCATTGAAATTACGAAATTTTCTATGCAAACAATAACGACTTTTACTTAGTTAAGTAACAAATATTTGCTAATTTCATTAGGAACTCACTTTAAAGAATTTGTTGTATACTGGCGTTTCAGCATCGATGGAATCGTTTATTCGTCTGTTATTGAACAAAATCTTTACTTCACTTGCTTCAGCATCTTCAGCATTTTGAATCAACTCCTGTGAAAGTATTGCTTTTGATGTATCTTTATCATAGTCTTTACATGTATGACAACTTTTCCTTCATAACAAATATATGGCGAATGCTAATGTTTTTTTTCTAATATGAAATTATTATAACTGAATAATTGCATTAAGATGGTCTCGATGATATTGATTATACAGTGTCAATGATATAATTTATATGGAATGGAAGAGAGCTAGCTAACATATACATAGTATAGAGTGTAATTGAGTTACGAAGAAATGAGGCAAAACAACGACTACTAGTATTCAATATTGTGTCCGACCTTACAATAAATAGAGAAAATTGAATAAATGTAAATTTAATACTTACTTTATTGAACGCGTTGAATAAAATCAAATTATGCGAGCCTCTGTCTAGCATAGTATTGTTATATTCAACGGGTTCAATAACTTTAGTATTGACTCTTGACTTTGCACGAAAACAATATTATATTTGTCACAAATCTAAAGTTAGAACGGTTTACAGCTTAAAAGAGTCATTTTTCGTTGACGCGCCTGTAATGTTACGCCATCATTAGTACGCTTACACGTCATGTTTGTATCAAACTCTTCGCAGTGGTTACTTCCCTTGATCAGAACTGTCACCGTGTCTGAGATAATGCACGGCAGCATTGTATATACACCGTTCTCTCAAATATAGACCTGTGTCGTACTACGCATCACTCACCCCAAATGAGGGTAAAAATGACTCCGACATAAAGATTTTATTTTATAAAACAATATATCTTTTCATGTAATTAAAAAAAATTATCACTGTTTTCCAGATTTTAATATTGCAAGTGCAATTGATAGTTCGACTGTGTTACTACTTATTCAAATATTCAAAACTACTTTCACTTTCGGTTTTAAACTAACAATGGACCAAATACTATCACTCGTGTTGAACGATATTGGGTTTGTAAAACCACTAAAGGATTGTCAGAAGGAGTGTTTGATGCAGGTCTTGAGTAAAAATGATGTAATGGCTATTTTGCCAACAGGGTATGGAAGAAGTTTAATTTTTCAAGTGGCCCCATATGCGTTGTGTTCTATCACTTCCGTGTTCAAGCCGTCATGTTAAAAGAAGTGCGTTCCCATCATGCTTAGAGTGGTTTCACACAGGTCATTAAGACCGGTTTCCACAATGTGCACGGCAGAGCATTCATTAATAAAGCTAGAAAGTCGTCATATAACCACCCAATGAAAGAAAAAACTGTCAGTATGAGAACAATGAAGCCAGTGTAGGATATCTACTTTACTGAACGTAAAGGTATATTTTTATTGGTATTCTGAATTGATTGGATGAACAAATGTTTATGGCTATAGTTCAATATATTTCAGTCTAACAATGATTGCAACCCATCTTTTGCATTTCTCTCTGGAGGTTTTTCTTGTGGTCTTGTAGCAAAAAAACATGTGTTTAAAATACATTATTTGTTACACTGTATAATCAGTTGTATCATAAGTGTTCTTTTTGTCCGAGTATGACTGTTGGATAGTACAACACGCAAACACAATTTAGGTCATATGTTGCAGAAAAAGGAAAGATAATGTTGGCTAACTTCAGGTGCTTTAAAGTTTAAGCGACATAAGGGGCCCAAACCACTTCATCTGTTGGAGCTAGGAGATTCATAAACTCATTCGAACCAATTAAGTCGCCTCTTACGATAACGCTGGGTTAAACGGTGGCTGCAATTCTGATGTCTCAACCCTTAAAGGCAAGCTCTCGGCCATAAGGAGGATAAACTCTTTACATTAATAAAAAATATCTTTTAGCAAATTTCAAAGATTAAATCTTTACTGTCATGGAAATAGGTTTATGTCAAAAGGGTTATTTTGTCCAAATATAAATAAAATCTGTGAATAAATATAAACAAAGTTATGACAGGCTAAGCGACATTTAATACCTTTCTGGTCAAGAACAATTATAGGTCAATGTCATATTTGAATTATTAAACATGTCAGTTTTCTTATAAGTGTTGGATTTTTTGTTCAAGTTTAAATCAAATTCGTTAATAAATGACAAGGCTATGTCAATTTTAGCAGAACTACTTATATGACCGGAAGTGTCAATGTCAAATTAAAGTCAAGGTCAACTTCAATTAAATCTTCTCTAATATTTTGTGACAAGGAAAAAGATTCATTTATTATAAAGTAAGCTAATAATAGCTAAAACCTGTGAAATTACATTAACCTGACAAGGGTAACAACTCCTATAGGCAGGTGCCTATATCTAGTCAGAGTTTTCGCCTCGTAGTGGGATAAATTAAGTCTTAGAGTAATTATGCTTTATATATCAAACCAGAGTGTAATTTCTGCTATCTCTCGTATACATAACGCGAACAGATTGCCAAAATCACACAACATTCTTCATTGATCGCAGGTACCGATCGAAATGCTACAAAAGCAATTGCAACAGATAATATTTCAAGTTTTATAGAGCTACATAAATTGAAACTACATAAAAAGTAATCAAAACACACTAAAAGAATGTAATGTGATATAAAGTCAAATTAATATTTTGTGAACATTCAATAAGCGGTACTCCTGTGCTCTCATGGCGGCATTACTTTTATCCAACGGGCATGATAACCAAACATTTTAATGAACCGTAAGGTTATGCTTCATATTCAATGTCTAAGCTCTGGTCATTACATGTTCTTTTTCTTGTATAAACTAAGTGACCGAATAGTTGGATACATTTTTTACGTCAAAGGCCTTATTCATAACTCTTGTAGTGGACCATGCTGCAACATACTAAGTCTCTAAGCTCTGGACATTGTTGTTTCAGGGGAAAGTTTGTTTTAGACATATTGCTATGCAAGTCTATGTAAACTAAATGATCCCCCGGGAAAGGCCGTATTTACCCATTACAGCATAATATTACTTTCCCGATTCAAATGTATAAATCTTTGTTTAAGTTGTAAGATCGTATACCTAAATTAGCATGGGGTCATGATAAGCTATTTACCGACTGCGTGAAGTTTACAAATACAGTACATTTATGTATTAATGCCAAGTTTAACATATCGTTTACCAATGTATCATTTTTTTTCAAATAATCTCTTGTAATAATGATTTAAATGTTTTACATGCACTCTGTGTATGCATGTGTCGGTTTGGTACATGCAACTCAAGGTCATCTTAAACTGATAACGCAGTTATACGTAAAGTGTGAAACACATTATAGATATATAAAAAAAAATGAAACAAACATGATTTACCTAGGGTAAACATTATGATAAACGTTTGTGGAAAATACACTACCTTCAAAATCTGTCCACCGTCCGGATACTCGGAGAGAATTCCTTTAAGTTGTTTGATTAATGGAGGTTGTTTCATGGACGAGAACTCAATCTCCGCATGACTTTCTCCACCACTCATTGATGCTGGAAAAATAAATTAAAAAAAGACTTGAATGACATAATCAATTACATGCATAAATATTTTTTTCTTTATAATAAAAAGAATACGTTGTTATAACCCGTCAGTTTTTTGTAATGTTAATATCCCAAAGGCCAACGAGAGTCATTCTAACTGTAAATGCATGTGTACCACGTTACTAAGTATATTTACTGTTACATAGTAACAGTACATTTTAACAATAAATATCTGGTAACGTGGGAATCAAATGGCCGCCATTTTTTCCCCGATTCAGTCTATAGTGTTTCGATGTCCACTACGAAGGGTAAATAGACAGCCAAATAATTCATTTGTTTGCAACCTATAGTGTTTTTCCCGCCTTAAATTTATTTTGGCTGAATAGTCAAAATGTAACCATCTGTTTTCATCGGGGGTTTACATGACTAAAAACATAAAAAGCAGACGATTAAAGCAGGAAGGAATATGAAGGGAATTTAATCAGTGAAACATGGAACGTGTGGTAGACAGATCTACAACACTATTTAGATGTAGGATATCGTTCACAATTGCACATTGTCAAAAATCATATTCTGGAATGGGTTATATATACACATATCATAACCATATAAATAGGTTTGTGTTTTGATTGTAAATAAAGCACAGCTTATTGTATGCCTGGTAGGTATCATCATTTGCTAAATGACTACAAGAAAAAGACACTTGTAGTACACTTACAACTTGCAAAATAAGCATAGTTGAGTGAGCTTGCATCAATGTTCAGACCAAAGGGAAAACGTGAGTGTTGCATGCGTCTTTTAAATGAATGAAATACACAACGTTACTGTTACATGCATATACAGAATTCACAAAATAGGTAACATGGATACTGTTATATATTAAGAGGTCTCCGCGAGACTGCGCACTCAACTATTTTTTATAAAAGGAACATAAAACAAGTTGACTCTGAGTTATGTAACATATGCTCATCGTGTTAAAAAATCAACACTTTAAGTGTGTGGAGTTTCCACCTAAATCCCGCATTAGTTTTTGGAGATGTCAACTTGCTAGCAGATTTTTTTTTTAAAAATGTGACGGTGGCGCCGATGCCTGGATGAGTACATAAGCTCTCCCTATTCTTCGAATAGTCGAACTAAAAATACATGTAGATAACCGCTACATAAACTTGCAGAAAATAGAACATATAATTGTCATAAAACGCATCAGTGACATTTAGAAAGTATTTTACTATTACATGTATTATTGGCATTAAGACATTAATATCAATTAGCCTTTTTAGAGGATTACTTTATGATGTTGCATGCCAAATATTAAAAGCATTTAAGCTCTAGGACTTGGGCTTGAGTGGTACTCAATTCTTAACACTTAATAGTGTTGACATCAATGATCCCATAGGACCAGAAAAATATAATAGCACTGAAGTGAAGTACAGGGCAACTTTTACAGCTGCCACACAGCACTTGACACCTGCTGTTGTGAAGTATAAAAATCTGGAAACAAAGTGATTCCTCGGAAGCAAAAATCACAACAAAATTACTTGAAAATTGCAGAGTCGGTTTGATTAAGTCTGTTACATGAGGTATAATGAATAAGTGCACCATCCCTCATGACCCCTAGCACCGGCTTGAGCGGTACTCAATTCTTAACGCTTAATAGTGCTGGCATCAATGATCTCGAAGGACCAGAAAAATATAACAACACTGTCATTTGTATGAAAAAGCTAACACACGGACGGACGAATGGACAGACGAAAGACAGACAACTTGGTGACAGGTGAGCTAAAAATCGAAAAGCCCCCTCGCAGGGCCCCTTCTTATCCTAGGGGCATAATTTGAACACTCTTTATAGAGGACCACTAGATCATGATTCATAACAAATTTCAAGGCGCTAGCCTTGTCGAACTGACAAGAAGATTTTCGCACGGACGTACGAACGACGGACGACAGACAACACGATGTCACAAAAGCTAACCTTGTCACTTTGTGACAGGTGAGCAATAAATTAAAAGCGAAAATAAATATAGACCAGATTTATATGTGGTGGAGATCGGGATTAGTATTTATTGTTCTTTTTCTTCTTTTTTAGAATGACAACTGTAGATATATTAAAGGGCATAATTTTCTTAAATATCACAGAACAGGATTATGCTAAAACGATATTTTTTCGTTTTGGGTGAAATATGGAATATATTTTCACGAAACATGATAAAATGCTGCATAATTTCAAGTGAAAATATATTCCATATTTCACGAAAAACGAAAAAAAAACCTTTTTATTTAATTTCATTATCAAAGAAAAATGGTGACGCGCAGTAATATATTGTGTTTTGACTGTTTTTGCACATGTTTTTTTTTTTCTCTGTGGCGTCACGTAAACAACGCTTTAAACGTCTGTACAGTGGTAATGACTGAATTAAAGATATTGGTGTTCGGATTTATTTTCTTAGACCATTTTTCTATCATTCTTGATAGTTTTCAAAGCAAAATTCAACAAAAAGTTGTTTTTTATTTATCTCTTTTTTTCAAACAAAATGGCGAAAAAGTCCCGTGTAATGAGTTTTGTCTCCTCCCACTTTCATATTTATATTTATATTTCATTTTTATTTGTAAAAAATATGAAATATATTTGACTGATATAGCACCATAATTCATGTGTAAAATTAAAAACACACTTGTTATTTAATTTATTATGTGGTTTATTTTTACATGTATTCACTTAATATGATATTAAAGTATTATTATGCCAAACAAAGGGTATACAGTGAGTGGGGTAGGTGAAAGTCAAAATAAAAATACATTTTGATAGAATTCCTTTTAATTTCATAACGTTATCTGAGCCGCGTCACGACAAAACCAACATAGTGCGTCTGCGACCAGCATGGATCCAGACCAGCCTGCGCATCCGCTCTATTACAAGTAGAAACACTGATAGCGAACAGCATGGATCCTGATCAGACTGTGCGGATGCGCAGGCTGATCTGGATCCATGCTGGTCGCAAACCCATTATGTTAGTTTTGTCGTGACGCGGCTCAATTTACTTCGCACGAACGTTAAATAACTCACAAAGTATAAAGGGATTTTTTTAGGCAGATGAATGATTTCTCCTAAACATTTTCCAATATCAACTTTGTCAATCACCATTCTTACATTCAATGTTTTGAAATAATCAGTAAATTTAGTTACACTTAACAATGAAAGAAAATGAACACAATGATACTTCAAACTATTTACATTAATGATAATTGGCAGCCGACCAACATTGATTACATTAAAGTTAATCTCTAAACAAATATCATGTGTGGTTAGTGTAGATAAATTTTCGAAAAATAAAGAAGCGGTTTTCTTAACCATTTTTTTTGGTAAGTTTCAATAGCAGGCAAATATGAATACAAACAACTTATTTTCTCCAATTATATTATGTTTATCTTAAAATGTAGATCTATAAAAGAGTCTCGTTTTACTTCGGTGACAATAATTTAACTTGCCAAAACAGAACCGCAGACATGCGAGGTTTTTGGCTAAATACATTTTTATTTTGATAGATAAAGGAACGAGATTTGATATTCTCGCGAGGAAATAATAGCGACATATAACATTTTTGTAGTATATTTAACTTTCATTCTCGCGAAAAACCAAACTATAGAATGGCGAATCTGCTCGAGGCCCTCGCGAGTACTAACTTTACTTGAGAGAGTTAGGTTTAATGGCCGTGATTTTTAACACAGGTGCAATGAATGGCAAGCTTTAAAACAGACACTTGAATATACATGATTACCAAGAACAGCAATTTAATGAAACGTAAAAATGTTATACATTATTGTCTTTTTTTCTTCACCAAATTTGACATGCAGTTAGTTAACAGTTGAAAATTGCGTCGTGATCCCATGTATTATCAGCGTATACGCTAGATTATCAGTTTAGCGTGTTTTAACATATTAAGAATTCAACAGGTTTCTTTGGTGGGAATGTTTGAAGATGTCATTTGCAAATCACTTAAAGAAAACGGGGACTTTTACCCTACACAGATAGCTGTATGGTAAACTCCAATCTACGAGTATTCCCGTTCGTTTTAGCGACAAAACAAAGATCACTGCGTTGATCCGTGGTGGAGGGGCAGTCGATCGTCGATTCAAACCACCACCCCAAGTCAAAATTGACTTTTGCATTACTTAGATTCAACAAAGAAGAGTAGCAAGGAGAAATATTTCACGTAGTAAATAGTACAAGAATCTAAACACTCGTTCAGCATTTCACTCGCCGAATTGCCTGAGCAGTCACTTTTAACCCCCTCAAAATATTTCAATGTTTGAAGAAACAAATCCAAAATTACCCGATTGTACTAGCTTTTCAATAATGTTTTCCTTATTTGCGTAACATCATTAAACCCACAGGGATTAGACGCTTTGATCTGCTATTATCCACTACTGATAAAAAAAAATAAAAAAATAAAAGACAATTCCAACATTTAGTATTCATAACAACAATAGCGTGACACTATTAGGCAATTTTCATAATACCTCTATAGTATTAGTTAAAAAAGGGTAGCATTTTCATGTTTACATTCAATGACATAACTCAGCCAAACTATATATTTAAAAAACACACTTGAACTCGATAAATGCAGTAAAGATATGCGCATGCAATGACGTCTTCCATGTTATGCAGTGTTTGATATTTTGTTTTATATGAACACCGTAACAGCCGGTTACTAGAAATAGGACACAATCTGATTCACGTGCATTGTGTACACCGGTCTTACCGATATTTGAGAGACCGGTGTGTATACAATGTATTCACGTAAACATTGATTTTCTACGACAGAATTGCTAAAAGGAGTCAAAGTTGTCTACGAAATGCCTTTTCATCTGCAAAACCTTTAACAATCGATGACACTCACCGTCCAAATATATTTGATATCGTACACCAAAAAAAAAAACGGATATTTTCTTCGTCATTTCCCATAAATTTACCCGGAATACTCTTTTTTTTTATCCTAGAACGACGATCTTTTAAAACGTTAAAGGTAGAGTATTCCGCGTAAGGTATTTGTGAGAAGAAGAAAATGTCCGTTTTATATTTCTTCGCGTAGCTGCGGTACAGAATAGATTTGAAGGCGAATTTCGTGGATGCCCATGAACATCTCCGAACTCACCATATGCATAAATATCTTCTAAATAAACACAATTAAATAATGATTTTAAGCGGAGAAAATACAACAAGGTTAACAAGTTTATTTATCTTTTCCCAGGAGGTCATAGACCCATGTGCTACAATATGCAAATGCAAAATATACAATATGGCAAACGTGCATCAATATCAAATTGACATGATCACATACATGCATTATAGTAGCACATTTTACATATGCACTGGAAACTATTTTCACCTATTATATGATGTTCATGCTTATAAAAGTTCACATTTTCGTCGTATGTGTCAATAGCATATATGCAGCATAAGATTTAAAAATAATGATAAGATGTGATGAAAATCCAATTGTAATGACTTTTGTTGTTATGTTTTAAATTACGTGTTTTTAATTGTTATGTTTTACTTAAATTTGATATACAATGAAACGCACATCACATATACATGTCTGTAAACAGAGCAAGTCATTTATTATTTAATATTTAACATATTAACCTTTTCTTTTTTGAAAAAAAAATAAACAACACCAACAACAACAATAAAAAAACAACAACAAACCAACAAAAATCAGACATACCCATGTCTATGTAAATAGAATCCTTCTTTACTTATTTCCTTTACATAATGCACGACTTTATCTATTTAAATATATAATTCCTTATAAAGAGATAACCCTTGCAACTTGCATAAAGTTACAACATAAAGTAATATAAGTAATAACCAGTAAATTGTGCAAAGTGCGCATTATTTTCCTTTTCGTTTTTCGAAAAAGACTGAATAATAAATTATGTTTTCCGAAAACGGTTGTATATTGCGCACGTGCATGAACTTATATGCTATAAATAGTTAACTTGTGGTCTACATTGCGTAAATCGATATGTAACTTATTTTATGGAACGCCTTAACTGCATCATTCTACTAGACGTTTTACTACATGCAGTTTTAGAAAAGGGAAAATATGCAACTATTTCATGCATCATTAGAATGGGGGAAAAACAAATTCACTTTTCCATGCATTTAAGAATAGAGCTATATGAACTCTATGTTTATTTAAAATGTTTCGTCATTAAAATGGACAAATACGGTAGTATAACACTCATCAATACTGTCACTAATACAAGCATTTGTAGAACAAAAAAGAAAGTTACTAAATAAACGTTACTGTGACATACATCATTAGAATGCAGACAATTGTAAGGGGGACACCCTGTTGCGTGCATCATTAGAAATACGGTTAAATGCATGATAAAATTTAGGGAAAAACATCTTGGATTCTAGAAAAGGCGAAAATGATAAGAAGGATATTTCAAATATTTGATTTGCATGGTGAATATTTTAATTGATAATTCAGAAAATAATAATAGATAACTGTCATGTGCATTGTAAAATAAACAATATAAACGAAAGGGCATTTCAGACACATACATTGATTACATTCGTCAGTAATAGCAGGGCGTAAACATTCTACTAATATGTAAGCGTATGTTGGTGGTGAAGATTCTTCTGATACTAATTTTCTTTGAACATCCGATGAAATCAAGTCAAACATTAATCAGAAAATTAACAGTCTGGTAGACAAAACTTACAAATTCTTCGCGTCGCACATGTAAGTTCTAACTTTTCTCATTTAATCAGTTACCAATAGTATGTTTAAATCATGGCGGCCATTTTTTACTGTGCAACAAAGTTTCGTTACTTTTACGAATTATTATTTGTATATAAAGCATAATATTTGGATGAAAAAAAACTGACGTAATAGAAAGTATAAACATTTAAAATGAAAAGCGAAATAATATACTCGGTACTTTACTCGTTATGGAATGGTGTCTGTATTGACTGATCATCAGGGGGAAGTAACCGCCATGGGGAGTTCAGATTAAACCAGTTTCAAAGAAAATAAAGGGGCATAACTTTGCGAAATAATATTGAATCGGATTATGGCACTTATAACTATGCATATCTCCTTTGTATTATTTGCTTTATTTATACATGTAAACAATATACATGTATAATATTATATTAAACTATTTACTTTCCTGATATGGTTTTAACATTACATTGCTCTTAACTTGATAGCCACTGTTACATCATAACATATCTCCTGACCAATATCATATACTGTTAAGTGTAGATAAAGTTTCGACAAATAAATTGGTAGGTGTTTTCAAGTGGCCAAAACATGATGCGATTGTAACTTAATCATTGAATATCTTGCTACATAAATGAGCGAGATAAACAACCTCCCGAAAATAAAATATGGCTATATTTATTGCTTTTTTATTTGTTGAGTGTGTGTGTGTGTGTGCGTGTGTTGGTGCGTACGTGTGTGCGTTGGTGTGTTTGTGTGTGTGTGTTTTATATTGTTTTTGTTTTGTTTTGTTTTTAGGTGGAGTGGGGATATTGTTTGCTTTGTTGTTGTTGTTGTTGTTTTATGGAAATTTATTAGATCAGTATTTTGCATAATATGAACTATGCTCACAGATAAGGTTAGAGTTGATAAAATTATTTAACATTCAAGAAAGATTGTTTTTCAAATCATTTAGTTTTAAATCATTTACTTGTTAACTTTATAATTCAAATTTTCTGCAAATTCCAAAGCTTCTCTTTGAGTATATTGTCTGCAAAACCATTCATAAACTTTGTTTAACCTGTCTTCAAACTGTCTACTTCATAGTTAAAGATATAAAGATGTTTTCTTCTTTTTTCTCTATTTTTAGATATCCTACTATATCCTACTAATAGACACTGGTTTTAGTTGTCAAAATATGTTATATGAGCCTGTAAAAAGGGGAGGTTATTTAACGTGCATGCATTTATCTATTTAAAGACGAAAAAATACACCATGATAATTTTTTTCTTAAAGTCACTTTCTTAATTGTTTAGGTCCAAAATTATAGTAAAAATACAAATAATTACGTCAAAAATACTTCTTTCTTATGCAAAAAATCATTCCTCTTTATATGTCATTTTGGCAATTTTGGCAAAAAAAGCAAAGAGGGGGTGTGCCACTAAAGATATTGTCTAATAATACCGTCTAGAAAAGAATAAAAGTTATAGTAATGAAAAGCTGATTCTTATTGGTCCCTATTGAGACTTTTTATCTTTAAATTGACTAGGTTTGTACGACATAGTGTCAATCATCATAGTTTAACCGAAATAGACTTTATTTTCCTTGGGATGCAAAACGTTTTCATTGGCTGTTTATTATCAAAGAGGACGCTTTCTGTTTTTGAGCCACGTCATGACAAAACCAACATAATGGGTTCGTTTTCAGTTTCACTACTTGTTAAAAAGTTTAGAACCGATCAGCATGGATCCTGATCAGACTGCACGGATGCGCAAGCTGGTCTTGATCCATGCTGGTCGCAAACCCATTATATTGGTTTTGTCGTGACACGGCTCATATAGAACTACTTTCACTCCGTAGTATGTCCGAGATTATAAAGAATAATAATTAAGCTGTTCCCGACTGATATGTTCTATCATTATTTGATGATATTTGAAATTTTCTATAACCGAAATTATTATTATGTTCAACTGCGTACTGTCTTTCACTCTTAGACTTTTTTTGAACGTATTAATGCTGAGATTTTGTCGTCTGTCACCAAAAAGTGCCTTCAAACTATAGGATTATATAACTTATATCTTGTCCTAGGATAATCTTTATTTACAAGGCAAAATGTATACCTTACATTCAGTGTTCTTTTATAGATGATTCACCATCAATTGACAAACAAATAAAATAAATTACCAAAATAAGCAAAAATGTATGTACCGACATAAATATGAATTTTATAGCAACTACAGGTACGCCTCGGAAAATCAGGCTTTATGTGACTATTTATGCGGGTATTGACAATCTGCCGGGTTTCCAGGTAGCTCCCCGGATACAGATACTCCTTGCAGCCAGTCCCGTGCATGTTTAGTGTTATAGATAAGGGGAAATGAACCTGTAATAATTAATGCTTGACTTTTTTTCTTATAAAAGTTATGTAACGTATCAATTTACAATTTACATCCAAATCCTTCCAAAAGCAAGTAACTCAATACTAAACGGAACTCTAAGCAGGAGCATCATCTAACGCAATGATAACAGTGTGTTTTTTTCTCTACATTTTAATGTATTTTCATTTCTTTTAAAAGTAAGTTTTGACTTTCTTTAGTTAGGCTGGTCAGTGTAAAAAAGATGCTACACATACAATTATGAGTAAGGATGTTTTCATAAAGTAATGTGACAGTGTATGACAAATAGTGTTATAATGAATACAAATATTTTTGCAAAATTACAACATTCTTTATATTTATCTTAAGTGAATAATTGTAAAGATATTTCCAAGTAGACTGATCAAAATGACAAACCTTAAAAATAACATGACCTAACAGTACCACTTTATAGTATGGGAATATCAATACATGTATATCCAAATAACCTGAAAAAAATATAACACTAAAATGAAACTAGTCCAACTAATTAGACTTGTCAAAGAGACACCGAGATAATTTTGGACGGGCGCTGTCTTTTTCCAAGTCCAACCACGAACTGCATTTTTATGCACGGACGCTTCCCAATTAGAAGTTGTTGGGAGCGAAAACTAGAAAAGTTTCAAAGAAACGGTCTACATTACCTGAAAGAGAATCGTTTTTTATGCAAGGTTCCAAATTATCATACTTCAAAGTCGAACAGAAGTCTAAATATTCCACTTTAATTTTTTAATCGTTGAAAATTATTGAAAGCGGCCATATTGGAAAGCGGTGTCATGGTAAAATTGTAAATTCCATGGTGTAACACAGGTATCGGCGGCAATCGATTGTATTTGCCAAGCTTTATTATACAATTTGTTTATGTTATTTATATGAATTATTGCAGGAATAACTCTTTTATTCACACACAAATATTTCAGCATTAAAAAGAGAATGTGAAAAGGAAATTCTGATAACCTTACTTAGAAATTAAATAGTTTATGATGTCCGATGTCAGATCATACTGCATTTAAGTCCGTTTAAATTGTCAAATTAGATATTATTAAGTTGGATTTTTTAACATCTGTGATCATTAGGTGAAATTTCTGAACTACCTTTTTATTTTATAGCCCTGACATGATTTCCCACATACGAAAATACAATGTAATTGTAGGTACATCTTAATGAATTATAATTATACTATACATGATGAAGCAAAGAAGAATTTCAATTTATATTACACTCCATATCAATTTCTAGTTGTTTTATCTTTAAAAGAAATTGAGGACGGTTGTGTAGGGGAAGAAGTTCAAAACAACCAAAATAACCTTAAAATTCTGAAGAAAAAAATCTTAAACTTTCAAACTATAAAATGGAATTTCAGACAGTCCTCAGTAAAATACAATTGTCGCACAGATATGACGGGGTTTATGATAAAAACGCAGCAAGCGGAAAATAAGTGACCGTTATTTAGACGTTGAATAGCATAACAATGTAAGACAGGTGGGAGAAATGTTAGAACGACTGTCGCAAAAGGACACCAAAACCTCTGATAAATTTAAAATTCCATGTTATCTAGTTCCCGCTTTTCATTGAACGGCACCTCGAATGTGTCACATTGAAAGTTCCATGATTACCGCCGTATTATGTACACATCTGTGGATGTTGATTAAAAATTTCAACATTATTATGTTTAAGTGATCAATTCTGTTTAAACCGGCGAAAGGGAGCACTTGCACCTACCAGAGCCGTCTTTGGCACTCATGTGTATTTATGTTTCGATTTTGCAGTTTCAGGCGTTTTTGGTGGGGGTTTTTTTTGGAGGGTGGATACATGTATGTGTTTT